CAAAGGAGACGACGGGTGTTAACTGGTGAAACTTCTGCGGGAGTAATTTTGAGGAAAGAAGAAGCATGGTTCGGGTTCCACAATGGGCCTTCTCAGATTGAGCGGTTTTGGTGCGATATCCTGACGTGTCCACTGGCGAACTGAACCAGGCAATTGATACTTATGCGGAGTGCTATTGGGTTTGTACTTGCCGCATCGATGTTTGGTGATTTAAAGAAGTCCGTACCCAGACAACTATGCTTTCGCTGAAAGACTTCGTAAGTGTATGAATACGATGTCTGAGAAAAGCGAATAACGAAAACCCGTCGTCTTCTCAGAAGGAACCTGTCATTCATCCAGAACATTAAAGACACGCTTTCAACAACCCGAGTTATAAGGTGAAAGAGGATGATCTTCAACGAGTTACCAAGCCCTAAAGACCGGAACATTGGGAGGAGGAACATGTACGAAAACGAATCTGATGATGACGCAGAACATGAGTAAGATGATCTGATTCAAAAGGTTTACGAAGATTGGATACGTGATCTTGAGAGCCAGGGCACAACAGATTCAAACACGGGACTTTCTGGACAAGCACATTTGATGGTCTTAGTTTTACGGCTATACGTCACAATGGAAGCGACAACGCAGGATACAACGTGCAGTTACCCATTCCTGAGAATTCGTTAGATGAAGACGAATTTGTTACCATAGTGCTGACTTTCACACGACTGGCACTCAAAAGAGAAGCAAAGTGAAACCGCCTACACCTCGATATCCAAGATCATTGAAGTTCTACTTAACAACGGGAGTGCATCCAAAGGGCAAATGTATTTAAGTACAATCGCAGGTTGAAGTGTCGCAGGCGAATGGAAGCGTAAGAAGTATAAGTGACTGGGCAACGGCTGCCAATCTGGACGACAAAAGAGAAGGGCTTTCCAGTGTATCATTGCGCCTTCTTGTTGACATTTTATGAGGAAGCTAAAAAGGTGGACTTAGAGGATGGAGTCCCGGATATGGGGTTGAAGGCAAAATTCCGACTTTCTCGTAAAAACCTTTTGATTTTGAGGGAAGTCGTGGCACCCACTGATTCTTCTTCTACATGGGCCTGGAGGAAGTGGGAAGACTACGTAATTGACTTAGTCATGGCCTATGGCAAAGAATTCTGCGGTTTGATTGATCATCCATTTAACGACCGAACCATTGTTGTCACTGCTATGTCGGGGGTTGCTGCTACAATACTGCATGGGGAACAACGCATTCAGCTGTGGGATTGAACAGAACTCGGGAAAGTGTGGCGAAGAACTTGGTAGAAGAATGGAGTGACGCACGGATGCTTATCATCGACGAAATTTCATTCGCGTGGGAACTTGACTTAGTGAAGATATTCCACTAACCAAGACCTTGATGCAAGACGAATACCAACCATTGGGGGACTTAACTTGGTGTTCGCGGGGGACTACTCTCAACTTGAACCAGTGGGACGCCCCCCAATTTACAATCTTCAGCACACCATTCCTGAATTTCATGACTCTCTGAATTCATTTATTGAGTTAGATGGAATGCACCGCTTCAAAGACGACCTGAATGGGGGCAACGCTGTTTAAGATTCCGTGAAGGGCGACCAACAGAAGAAGATATTGAGACCATCATGACGCCTGCGTGGTTGGCCCAACCCATGTTCCACCAGAGAACATTCAAGTTGCTACTTATCTGAATCGAGATCGAGATGCCATTAACTCAGCTATCTTCGAAGAATTTTGCGGGAAGAACAAACTGCTGATGATTCCGTGCTGATGGATGCAGTACTCATTTTCATGGACGATCTTCAAATGGCCAATCAAGCAGGGACACTGGTTCCTGTTAAGAGCAATTCGGTTTTAAAGCACTTCTTTTCAACATGTGGAGAAGACTCGTTAAAACCCGGTTCGGACTCACGAAAACGTGTTGATCCTGCTTTGAAGTTATATAAGGGTGTCCTGTAATGTTTACAGAGAACACGAATGTTCGAATGGAGAAGCCAATGGATTCTCGGCTTTTTGTGAGAAAGTGAATGTGAGGGATGGTTGCACCCCACATGATTATTCAACTCGACAACGGCTGCAAGATTCGGGCTTTTTCTCAGGTCAAGTCAAATCTATCCTTGTGGAACATGAAATGGAGACTATTATGCCACGTACTTTTTATGTAACGAGAGCAAGACTACACTTTCAGCACCAGATGTTTCTATGACGGAGAAGTTGTACACACCAAGATGAAGGGTAAGCAGTTCCCGATTATCAGCAATTCTGCGACAACTGGACACAAATTACAGGGATATACTGCAGTGTGGTTATGGGTACATTCATGGCGATACTGTCAAAACTGGGCTTACGTGGTGTTATCAAGGGTGCGAACCATGAGTGGTTTGTTCTTATTGAAGAAGCTGGATTGGGACCAAAGAACTTTGCCATGCCACAACGAATGAGAGACATGCTTGCAAGATTTAAGGATACTATTGGCTTTCTGTCCTAGGAGAAGATAAATACGATGAAATGTTCCAGCGAGAAGACGGGTTCTTGTTTAAGTATAACGGTAGGGATATAGGGTAAATTAATCTATATATAAAAACTTTTATTACTACAACTACCTTTCTGAGATTCGCATTGCACCTCGTACGTCATTCAATGTCAGTCATTGAAAAAAGATCAAGCGTCCAATCAAATCACAGGCGACCCGAAAAATTAGGAGCCAACTTTTAAAATGTGAAGAACGCAAGGCGACTTTCATGTGCATGTACATGCGTTGACTGTATCCCGTCAATACAATACTAGTCGAATACGTAGACTTCTACAGGGCCTTCTAAGTAATGCGCGCCGGGTATAATTCAAACCTCTGCCCCCATCCGTACCATTACCCCTAAAGCAAATCCCACAACAGAACCAGTCGGTACCGACTCGACTCCTGTCCCCACCAGGCTCCACTCCCGATCAAGTCCAATGCCTAATAGGTAGACGGAGCTCACTATCTTTGCTACATATTGGAGTCTACAGGTAGGGACGGTAGTAGCTGGCCGCCAGAGACGTACCGTAGGTACGACTGTACCATTGGCCGATCTTTCTTGCTTGGTCGAGGCTACGGCTGTGAAGAGAATTCCGCAAGACTCGACTCCAAGCAAGAATTAATTGCAGGCTCGTACTGAATCCTTGATAGTAAATTGTGTTATCTATGAATGTATCGGTATCCACGTCTCCGTCAATGTACATGTAGTCTTCACCTCGGCAGGTTAACTGCCTGAGTTCTCAACCCCTTTAGAGCATTCAATACCGGGGTCACCCATAGCACAAAACCCAAATGGTGGGTGGCTTGACATACTCGCAGCAAGGCTATGCTTGCTCGCGAAAGAGAACCTCAACGCTCGTATTGTGATGTTAGAATGATGTCATTGATGATGTGGCAATTCTTCTCCTTAAGTAAATTTGAATCCAATGAGTCAAATGGGTTTGGGTCGGCAGTTGAGGCTACCCAAACAGTGCCGATTTGCGTTGGAGCATACTCAACCCAATCGCCCAAATCGCATTTGACTCACTGGACTCAGGTCGGCCGGCGATACTCGATGCCAACCATTTGGGTTTTGTGCTATGGGTGACCCCGGTATTGAATGGTCTTAATGCTATTTCCTATTCCGGTGAAGCCAAAATATAGGGATAGAGATAGTCTTAAGCCAACAAAACTGGAAATTGAAGGTTCTACAAATTTAGGGGTAGGAATAAATCATGATTATTCAAGGTTAGTGCACTCAACACAATAAGCCTGCAGAAGCTACAAAGAATACAATTACATAAGGGAATGACAGCTGTAAATTATGAGCGGGCTACAAAGAATACAATTACATAAGGGAATGGCAGCTGGTAAATTATAGAGTAGCGGGCGGCAACACACGACGTAGTCGGGTGTTGTCGCCAGGGCTAGCTTTTAAAATAAAGAAGGTTGCAATGAGGGAATGAATGATACCGGGCGGCAACACACGACGTAGTCGGGTGTTGTCGCCAGGGCTGGCTTGAAAGATGGGTGCAATCTCGAACATGATCCTCCTTCTTCTATCTGTCTTTCTGCCGAGGTATCGCAGCTCCCGCTGACTTATTAGTCATCCATCCCATTTTCGCAGCAGAAGTTTTAATAAAAAAAGAGGATCTCAATTGTTGACAACCGACAACCGCACCCTCCCATCATTATTCTCATTTATTCCACAACACAACAACAACAGCAACATCATGAGCGACAACAACAACAATGGCGAACCCATCAAAGTGGCCGTGGCCAAGGAAACGCCAAATACCAGGGTGGGGGTAACCTTTCGTCAAGATTCCGACGAAGACATTCTCATCCACACCATTTCTTCCGACTCGTTGTTTGCGAACACTCGGCTGCAACCAGGCATGGAAGTCCTTCGTGTGAATGGCGTCGATGTCGACTGCTTGGGTTTGTCTGCCATTATGAAGCTATTGCGAGAAGCACCAGATGTGGTGAGCATTGAAGCCTTGGCAATCGAAAAGGAATCCTCGAAACATCCCACCCCGTCGGCTCCCGTAGTAACTGCAGCTGCGACCCGTCGTCCCATGGATCCAGAACCCAGCGGCCGTGGTTTTCGTGGAAGTAACAACAACGAACGAGGCGGCGATCCTACCATTTTTGTGGCTCCCGGGGATGCTGTCGCCACCAGTGTCGGAATGAATGGAGCGGTTGCAAACGCCATCCCCGTGGCCAGCGCCCAAGTCATGACCGATTCGCATCGCAACAACGGGGCTATTGTCACCATGACGGCGACGCCATTGGTCGATCATACAGCGACCGGTGCGGTCAAGACGGATTTGGTCAATTCCGATGGCAGTGTCACCGTGACTGCCACCAAACCCACCGTGGAAGCCAAGACAGGTGTTGGGCTGGCCAATCGACGCGGCGTGGGTGTGGTAATTACCTCCCTCAAATCCTACAGTATTTTTACCGGAACCAATCTACGAGATGGAATGAAAATTCTACAAGTCAATGGCACCAACGTGGAGCACGAAACCGCAGAACATATTGCCATGTTGCTTGGGTCCATTATTGGTGATGTTACGATTGTTGCTACCAACCTATACGATGATGACGGTGGTGGCCGTACGGCCGTGGCGGTGGCCGAATTCCACTTGACCACCGTCGTTATTAACAAACCCTCCCAAGAGGCAAAGGTCGGGCTCGGTATTACCAACAAACATACCGAATATGGAACCACGGTACCTCTCATTTCCAATATCGCCGCCGATGGGCCTTGTGCTCAGTCCGCCTTGCGAGTGGGCATGCGAATGCTGAGCGTGAACGGAATTGGTTGCAGGGGACAGCACGACACAATTGCCATGTTGCGCGTGGCTCCGGCCGGGCCCATGACTATCGTTGCTGGACCGACGAAAATGCTCATGGCCAACGTTACCAAAGCCACGCGAGATACCAAAGTGGGTCTTGTCATGCAGCGCAAAAACGACAAGCTGATCGTGACGGGGCTTCCAGCATCCGGTCTCTTTTGCAAGACCGATCTACAGGTGGGGATGCGAGTTTTGCGCATTAACGGAATTGAGGTGGATGCTTTGGACACCACGGAGCAAGTCTTGCAAATCATTGCCAGTGCGGAAGGAAACGTGGCTGTTGTGGCCGAACACGTCGCTCCCAAAGCAGTGACAGCGGCGCCAGGACCCGATTTGAATGCCCCTCCACCGGGAGCACCTCCTGGCGGCGAGTGGGGCGTGGGAAACTACTTTGGTCCGAACAATGGCCTCTTGTATTGTATCATCTGCGTCTTTTGTGGAATTTGTGGTCTCTTCGTCCTTTGTTGCAAAAATGACCAAACTGCCATGTATCGAGCACCCAACGGGATAGTCTACAATACCAAAGGAGAGAACATGGGCAACGGATCCACCACGACGTTCCGATCGAACCCGCCTGGAGTACAGGGGCCGCAACATTTCCCCGAATCAGACATTGAGAGGAATTGTGGTGGGTCACACGCCGGGCAAAGATTGGTCATGATCGGTACCTGCATTTCCATTGGCCTGTCCGTTCTGTGGGTCATTCTGGCCCTGGCTTCTGGATCAACCGAAACTACGTACTACTCCGGAGGATCCAGTTGCAGCTACAAATATTGCTATGAATGGGATACCTGCTACAATTCCTGTGAGTACCACCATCCTTTGACGGGTACTGTCGCGTCGTTGTCATCTATTGTTTCTCATCGTCTTTTCCTGCCCAAAATCCCCCCTCAAAGACAACAACCAATGGGAATCATGTTATGAACGTAACTATGTTTACCGTTGCGGTAGTTGCTGATTTTTGTTCGGTTGATAGTGCGGCGGCATCACTCCTCTTGCCCTCCTCTTTCCATTTGCCGCTGACCATGTCCGTATGGGTTCATACACCCCGTTCGGCAAAATACATAAGTACACATAGACAAAAGTTTTAACTTGCTTCGTCTTCGTTGTCTCTCTGGGATACGATTAGCTCGGTGTGCGATTAGCGCGGATAATCCGTGCGTCTCTGGACGGCACGGAACCCCAAACGCCAACTTTGTCCTTTGTCATTGAAGCAAAAGGATAAGCGTTCAATCTGCGCTCGCTTGAGCGTGGTTGAGCTGCAGGTAGTGAATTCAGCACCTTGTAAAGGCAAACTTCATACCTACGGCCGCAAAACCACGAATCAAAATATCGACAGAAGAACTACCCATGCTCGGGGAAGCCGTTGTCTCTGGCCCATCGCACAATTTCCTCATGACCAGACTCTGAAGCAAACACTATTGTATCCTCATCCCACGGGCATCCATTCTGACGTGCCCATTTCAGGATCTCCAAATGACCACCATCTGCAGCATATGAACATGTTGAAGCATCCCACGGGCATCCATTTTGACGTGCCCACTTGAGTACTTTCAAATGACCGTGCATAGCAGCAGATGAGCATGTGGTTGTGTTCCAGGGGCATCCATTCTGGCGTGCCCACTGAAGAATTTCCATATTACCATTTTGAGCAGCAGCTTGACATGTAAAGACATTCCAAGGACATGCGCTCTCGTGCAACCATTTCAGTATATCCAAACGGCTAGTGATTGCTGCTCCATAGCATGTTGTTGCATCCCAGGGGCACCCGTTCTGGTGTGCCCATTTGAGGATTTGCAAATAACCACCCAAAGTAGCCGCAACACAAACTCTTTTATCCCAGGGACAGTCATTGGCCCGTGCCCATTTCAAAATCTCCCAATGGCCACCTGCAGCAGCTTCCTTGCAAGTATCTGCATTCCATGGACAATTGTTGGCATGGGCCCATTTCAACACCTCCAGGTGTCCATTTTTCGCAGCAACCGAGCAAGTTCTTGAGTCCCATGGACACCCGTTGTCTCTGAGCCACTTCAGCACATCCAGGTGGCCGTTCTTGGAGGCTTGCTCAGATGCCCTGTGATGCCATGGGCATCCTTCCTGGCGTGCCCATTTGAGAATATTGAGATAACCCCCTTCAGCAGCAGCAATACAGACTCTGTTGTCCCATGGGCACTCCTTGTTGCGAGCCCATTTGAGAATTCCCAAGTGTCCATTCTTGGCAGCAGCAAAACATGTGTCTGCATCACATGGATGTCCATTCTGGTGTGCCCATTTGATAATTTCCAAATGCCCTCCTTTTGCCGCTTCCACAATTACCAAATAGTTCCAATTACAACCATTCTCATGTAACCATTTCAACACTGCCAGGTGACCGCCCTTTGCAGCATTCTTGCACGTTATCACGTCATCCCGTTGAAACTCTTTTTCATAATGCGCCCATTTAAAAAAAGAACCTGGAGATTGCCAACTCTGGCAATGGCTGTACAGACCTGAATGGGATCAGGAGTCTTGTTTTCGTAATTGTCACTGAGCCAGTATTCTGCACAAGCAATACTGTGGAATGCGGCACTGTACCCTGTGACAGTACTGGTTGCAGGGAACGGCTTGACATCATCATAATTATTGCTGATCACCAGAGGAGGATTTTTTACTTTGTTACAATATTCCTTGTAGAGACGATTCAGTTGCTTGTTGACAGCTCCAACAAAGGCATAATGCCCCAGTCCTACAAACGGAAGAATGTTGTTGACCCAAACATCCTGTGGGCCCAACAACAACAACGAGTGAGAGCATAGTTTCTGCTTCTTCTTCGTTGAGCCGACGGTGGAGTCGGTAGACATGATTGACTAAAGATATTGTGCCGCTTGTGTGTTGCAGGCAACTGTCAGCTATCCTTAGGTTGCTTGCTTCCACGGGCCCTAGCTAGGGCGTTTGCCTTATTAGCAGAGTAGGTCCACAAGAATTTTTAGGGGGGGTTAGGCACTCGGGAGGGGGGGAAGGAGGGGAGAAGAGGAGGAGGAGGTTAGGGTTTGGATTCCAGATTCCGACGTCATCCTTTTGCAGACGTCATTATTTACTTATAGCAAGAGGGGCAGAGGCAATGCCAGGGGGGAAGAGGGGCGGATTTGTTAACAACCGGCACTCGAAGTGTCAGCACAGAGGTGCGAATCCTCACAATTGGATGCGCACATTCCCACAATTCAAACCCGGTGAATCCTTTTCCCGTTCTATCCCGAAACCGCCCATCCCGACTACAATCAATTCCCAGAAATTTTTATTATTTGTTATTGCTGCTACCCATTCATTGAATACCCATGCAAACGATGGAGACAACCAACCGCATGAGGTGGTCGTCCTCTTCTATTAAGCATCCAATTGCAATAGGGAGCACAACAGCCATTTGCTAGAGGAGGAGGGAGATAATACCCCAATGGAAGGATCGGATATTGCCAATAGAATGTTGGTGGTGCCGCGGTTGGTGCTGCTGGTGCTGGTAAGATCGGTGCAAATCCATTTGCTGTTGCCGCTGTTGTTGTTGTTGTTGTTGTTGTTGTTGTTGCTGTTGAAGGCTCGACTGGCTGACTGGTTCGTTGGTGATGAACGTTTTCTCTAATTGGAGATGGGTCCGTTGGTCGTTGTGGTGAAGCAATATTTGAATTCAAATCTGGAGGTGTCGGCGATGGCGGAGCAACGGGTGGAGCAACTGGTGGAGGAATCATTTGGCATATATTGCACAGACAATGACCAATTGCGTCGTATTTTTGTCGGTGTGGCTTGACAGTTGCAATGTACTCAGCAAAGAACCTTTCTCCATTATCAGCAGGTAGCTTCTCAACTCTCAGAAAAGGTAGTGGCATTCCATTATCCGTGGCCATGGTGTTGACATACGCAAGTTCCGTGTGGTTCCAATAGGGCACCACTCGTTCCCAACCAACTGGTAAGTTGCGTTCCTGCACATCCAGCGATATTAACACTCTTCGATGTCTAATCAGCATGTTGTATCTTGCAGTACCACAAAGATTGAGTGCATCAGCAAGTGAGCGCCGCATTCCACTATTCGCAAAGTGTGCGAACCGGTCATGAAATGCTTCGAGTTTCGATTCTCCTCTTTTCGAAAGATACTCGGTGAGTTTGTGTCGTGATGATGGGGATGGAGCAATCTCGTCATACATATCTTCTATTGTCATTGGATCAGCTAAATGATGCGCTTTTTCTTTGCAGTTCTCCACAGCATTCTTGGTTTCAGAGGTGAATAAAGAGAGCTTCTTCACTGGATCAAGACGTCCTCCAGCTGGCCGACTGACATCATCTGATGAGGTCACCTTGTAGCGACAGAACCAAGTATCAAGTCGCTGGATCATGGTTGCTGATGGACGTAGCTTCTTTCGAAGGTATTTGGCATACCGTCTTCGAAAACAACGCGAAGCTTGGAGGTCAGTGATATCTTCGGAAGAGTAACATCGGCCGTTTGGCGAAAGTGAACCATCTTTGAGGGCTGTAATCAGTTTATCATAGTCGCCCTCATGGTACATGTAAAGGCAATTCAACAAACCAGTAAGTGCTTCACCATAATCGATATGTCCTTTGCACATTGTGCTAACAATCCTCTTTTCGAAATGAAATAGACCCAGTCTTCCTTCCAGACCTGGAAAGAGGGAATGCCAGTAGGTTTGTCCATTTGGCCATGTATCACTGTACATTGCTTTCGGTGAAAAGTGTGGTCTTCTGGAGAGCAATTTCGAAGCATGCGAATGGTGGATACCTTTGGTGGAGGGAACCAGCACGGCACAAGCGATCTCTCCAGTGGACGTTGCACAGTCCCATACTGCGACTGCACCCAAGCTCTTTTGGTAGTTCTTCACCACTTGAAAGGTGTGGTCCTGAGCGAAGATTCCCTCGTGGCATTGGACACTTTGGATTTCTCTTGTGTGTCTATCATTGTCACTGATACCCCAAGGATTGTACTGTGTTGCCGAAGCTTCATCAAAAAAGTCTCGAATGGTCTCTCCAAGAGGTGGGTATTGCCGCATGAACTCTCCATCCTTTTTGATGTATGGATGCCGATTGAAGTCATCGGGTAGTTTCTTCATAAGAGAGTAATAAGAGGTGACTCTTTGCAAATAGTCTTGATTGATCGCATTGTACAGCAGCTTACTGCACATTTCACCGTTGCCATAGGTTAGCATGAGAGAACTCATCACTTGAGTAGCAGTCCTGGATAGGTGGCTGTTCTTTTTCAGAGCGAATTTGGTTTCCACCGGATAAAGGTTTGCTGCATATTGTGGGATGGCAACCAAAACTTCGGCATCATTGGCATCGAACCTTCTCTTACAAGTACTGCAGACCATGGATTGGACAATGCACCACATGGCGTTGCCTTGAAGACAATAGATGGGGAATAGAGTCTGATTCTTGGACAAGTTGTGTCTGGTGTTTTGAAGGTGCCCCTGACAGGTAGCATCCGGACAAGGAACCGCCACTCCAAGCCGCTGCCAGTCAACCAATAATAGCTTCTGGCCAACTATGGAATGGTAGTGAGGCGAACTCATGGAAAGGGTAGATTCTGGAACAACAACTGTTATTCCGTGGACCAGCTGTTGTGTCATTGGCTCGTTCTTTGACCGGAGAATCTTGTTGGCAATCTGACTGGCAAAAGCAAGCATGGCTAATGGTGCCCCTTTCCCCTTGTGTTTCTCAGCGAAGCCTGGTGAATTGACAGTTTTGGTCACCTCTTGACAGAAATCCATGGTGAGGGTGGAAGCTTGTTTCTTGGTTCTATTCACAGGAAACGATGGAGTGGACTGGCTGCGAGAAAGGTTTTTTGTTCCCCTGGGAGCGAAGAAAGCTTCAATATTGTCCTTTGTCAAATGAGCAGCACTGCCCTTCTCGTGCCGGGCAAGAGGGGCAAGGAAGTGCTTCTCGAGTCGCTTTTCTTCAACTTGGCAAGCTACCGTGTGCTCTGAAATGTCTCCGGCACCTTTGGTTTTCTTGTTGCGCTTACACTTTTTGTGGTGCTCTCTTTTGGGAAGTCGCAAACCCAAATACCTTGCGCGGCAAACTACACAGTCCTTAAAAGGATCAAAAGCAATTGTGCCCAGAAGAGTAGCTTGGACTTGATTCCTTGGTGTCGTCTTTGATCTCTTGGGTGCGTTCGATCCTGCAAGAGCGTAAGTCCTTTTCTGAAGCGATTTCCTTTGCTGACTCTGTCTGCCCATCTCTTCATTATCTTGCAATGAATCAGGCTGCTGCTGCTGCGGATCCTCTGGTGGGGTGTTGGTAGTCATGTTGAAAGCTGTCGACTTGTGGTTAATGATGATTTGTGTTGGATAATGACCGTCGTTTTGCCATCTTGATCCTCAGAAAAGCCGATGGAATTCAAGTTTTCTCTTCCGAGGAAACGAAAATCCTGGGCTTGGTAGCACAGTGTCTCTATCGGTAAGTGTCATGAGTGCGTCACTGTCACTAAGTACGATTGTGTCTTACTTGGTGTCTTACTTACTTTACGGTACTCCTCCACCAATCATATCACTGCCTACTACCCCAGAAAATCGCACGTACGATGCATGGTTATGATGCTGTCCTTCTGTCTTCTGGCCTTCTGAAATAATAGCAATAATAATGATATTTGTTTTGAAGCACAGAGTGTACCGTTAGCTACGATTCATATGCCCCCTGGGTCGTCTCCGTTTCCAGTACTGATTTAACTTGTCTACTAATACAGGATAATGGTGAATAGAATCGAATTCCGTCTCCTTGAGACGGCGCACCTTTTGGTTACCCCCTCAGTTGCACTCTGAAATCGATTGGCTCGCGTTTACTGTGTAAATTAGTGTACCCAGTGATGTTACTAGTGACGCACAGTCCAAAGAAATAGCGGCCCTTAAAGCAGCAGTGGAACAGCAGACACAGTCCACATTAGCCATGCAGCAACAGACCAAGTCCACATTAGACGCCATGGAGAGAATGGGGGAAGAAACACCAAGAACAACTGCAACAGCTGGAGGCAAAGCACCAAAAGGATCAGGAAGCCAGTGAAGCAAGATTTCAGCAGATGATGGCCTTGTTCAGTAATATGCAAAGACCATCTGAAGCCACTGCCACCCCCTCCAACCCTCCTTCCTCCAGACAACCACATCCTCCTGGAGGGGGTGCCAATGATGCTCTGTACCGGGTATGCCTGTGCCCCATTATGGAAGTTACCAGACTCCTCATCAATCTCCAGTCCATGGACAATATCACCACCAGGGCACCAATGATGTCTACACACACCCAGACTTCCTCAGGGCTACCATGGAACCCTACAGAAACGACCACCACCTTCAAATGTAACCGTTGCAACTCAAGATGGTATTCCCGTGACTCCCCTCTACTCAAGCAAGATGACAAGCGCCCTCGAGCGATCCACGCTCTCTTCAGCCAGCACAGCTGTACCAGCAGCTACCATCAGCCTTACCACCAACCACAGCCAGCACCCATCATGGACTACAGTATCTTGCTGATGCCGGATTCCACCCAGGCTTTTCCCAGCCTACCCAACCCCATCACAACCACAACCATCAATCTCCAACCATGGTGCGCGATCAACAAAAAAGTCCCCCCCTCTTTAAGCTGCGAATATCTCTACCACACAACCGTTTCACGTTATAGGATCGTGACCGGCCAGTACCGATCAGCTAACCCCTCCTGTACTCTATCACACTCTTTACAGTCTCCCGCGGGAGTTCAGATCTACGATCCTTTGGTTGTGGATCTCTCTCGTTGATTAGTTTTCATAGCTTTCTAATCCTCTCATAACTTTCATTCTCTCAAACTCAAAACACTCGAAAGATCTTTACACTAGCTTTTAGCGTAGTGCACTGAGGATCAAGTTTTGCCAGACAATCATGAGGAGAAGTCAATGGTGAATCCTCTGTTGGTGTTCAGACCCATTTCTGCAAGTAAGTTTGTCATTGAGTAGTCCTGTTTCCAATGGGCTCTCAATGACAAGGAGCCTTCCTTTGTGTCGCCACAGCCCAAATGCAACATTGCTAGGACCTTACTAGTGTGTGCCATTTGGCAAGAAAAATTGAGCTTTCTCTCTGACCATGGCATCTATGCTACTACTTCCAATTGGTGATAGCTGCGCATGCATGGTGGAGAGTTACAACTGTATGGTGTTCTATGTCAGTCTTAACATTCTACATAGCAACTGTTGCCATTATCTGCCATTGTCAGCATGTTTCTTTTATTTTGTTGTTCTTTTTGCCGCAGCCGTTGCTTTTTTCTGGTGTCAGACACGTCAGCGATTATGTTTTGGAAGGTCAATGCCATTGAATGAGGCAAGGTGAGCCAGTTCTTCATGTATAAGATCATGTAGCCAAGCATCATGTGGGGTTGGTGGGGAACCAGTAAACAGAAATGATTCAGGAGACTGTGGGAGCTCTGTGAGTATATGTAAATCTATGAGCTATATGTTTGTTGCAAAAGACTACACTGTAATCCAATAATACTTACAATGGGGTCACTACGGTACTACATGTACCCGCGCCGGAGCCTGATACAGACAAACAAAAACATCCTTTCAGTGGTTGGATCTTGTCCTGGAATTCCTATGGTCATGTTCGTCGCAGATTTTGGGACGAGTTTCTCTAGCCATGGCAAACATACATGTCCTTGCTCTTGGGAGCTACCGTAAGGTAGTCTAGTAGATACGTTTAAAAGTGGGTATCCAGCCCGCTGGTGCGGTGTCAGGTCAGCTTGTGCCCACAGCAGATTATTGCTTCCAGCTCTCTTGCACGGCGTTGGGTGTTGATGCTTTTGCAAGTATTCGCCATAAGATCTCGCTGCCCAGAGCTACATGTAGCTAGAGCTGTTGTACCGGGCTAATCAGCGACTGTCAACGCCATCTAATGCTTGTAAATAGGTATGATATCAGGACCGTCCAGAAGTTTTTCACTCAGGCTTTAAAATTGACGCGACTGACTCAGAACCTAAGGGATTGTTCAAGGGATTGTTTTTTAAGGGAATGTCTAAGGGATTTTTCAGATTTAAGGGATTGTTTGTTAAGGGATTGTTTGATAAGGGATTGTTTGCTACTGTTAAGGGATAGTGTCGTGTGATACCACTATGGCTTTAAGGGATTGTTTGGAAGCTGGTTAAGGGATTGTTTGTTAAGGGATTGTTTAAGGGATTGTTGAAGATTTAAGGGATAGTTAAGGGATTGTTTGAAACGGTTGTCAGTCGTGCAAAATTTCAATATTTTTAAAATCCCAAGTGAAAAATGTCGCACAGTCCAGCCAAAGGATTTTGGGTTCATACGGATTTTGGATTCAGATCTGAATTATTTCCTTCAATTTTTACTTTTCATTTCATTCAAACCGCATCAATCCATGGTGCTTTCGCACGTCTCGAAAGCATCCCTCTAACGTTTCTCCCTCCCCCCCCACCGGTACGACTGTACTGTGCTTTCGCACGTCTCGAAAGCATCCCTCTAGCACCCCTCTAACGTTTCTCCCTTTCCCCCTACCGGTACGACTGTACCTCCCACGTTTCCCCCTTTCTTTCTCCTCCCCACTCTCTTTGCCTTATGCCCCACTTTCTGCATCACTACGATGTACGAGTATGACAGCTGTATTAGCTAGCTTAGCCTCCCTTCTTTCCTCTTAACCTCTTCTGTACAGCGGCGACTCCTTTTGAAGAAGTCTCCACCATGACAGGCTCCTCTTGGTTGGTTAGAGTGGAAGCCGGAAGCAGCGGCGGCGACGGATCGATCGATCTTCTTCTTCCATTCGACGGAGCGATCAATGACTTCTTTCTTCTTCCACGACGAAGCGACCATGACGCCTCCTCTTCTACGCAGCGACGCCGCCTCTACGGCCAATGCAACAACAATGGCACTGGCTGGAATCAACCGGCGGTTCGACGGCGTGTGTCGCCACAACAACACCAAGGAAAGAAATCGAAGCGACGCCGTTCACCGCACCTCAATTTCGTAAAATTTTCTGCTAGTAAATAACACGACAAACCCCCATTGAGAATTCGCGCGAAAACTCTCTTCCTTTGCCAACAGTCAACAACAACAACAAGAGCAGTTCTGACGCAACGTTCCATCACAACCTACGCTCTGTTGGTGTTCTTATGCATGTATGTGGAAGTGCCATTGTGACAATTTTGGCGACGAAGAACAAGCAGCCGGAGGCTGATGCCCCCAACTGTCAAAAAGAGATTTGGCTCTTAAAATGTCTTTGGCCAAATCCTTTACTGTGTTCAACTGGACACACTAGCAAGTCTTGATAGCTAGCCAGTATCTACCCATGTGTCCAAACTACTGTGTCCAACAGAACACACAATAACAATCCCTATCCTTAACAAGGAAAGTGGCCCCTATGTCCTTGGCCAAACCTACACCGTGTTTTTCTGGACACACTAGCAAGTCTGCATAGCCAGCCAGTACTGGGACCCACTTGTACAAACTACTGTGTCCAACAGAACACACAATATTAATCCCTTTTCTTAACAAAGCAAGTGTCCCTTATGTGACGAAAACAGCTGCAACAAACACACACACATACATACACACACACACACACACACACACACACCTACGGATAAAAGTGTGAGAACAAGCAGCCGGAGGCTGATGCCCTCAACTGTCAAAAAGAGATTTGATTGGTCAAATCATTTACCGTGTTCAACTGGACACACTATTGATAGCAAGCCTCCATAGCCAGCCAGTACGGGCACAGTGGTATCGGTACCCATGGGTCCAGAGTACTGTGTCCAACAGAACACACAATATAAATCCCTATCCTTAACAAGGAAAATGTCCCTTATGTCTTTGGCAAAACCTCCACCGTGTTTATCTGGGCACACTAGCGAGTCTGCATAGCCAGCCAGTACTGGTACCCATGCGTAGAAACTACTGTGTCTAACAGAACACACAAGATTAATCCCTATCCTTAACGAGCGACGAAAACAGCTGCAACAAACACACACACACACACACATACACATACAGCGATAAAAGTGTGAAAGACCCTCAGTCCGTTGAGGGCAAAAGACCCTCAGTCGGTTGAGGGGAATTCAACTGTCTTGCGCTTTACTAAATTCACTATTTTGGCGGCGCTCAATAAGGTTTATTACTGGTACCCTCTATGAGTCGAGTCTGTTCTTCCTAATTGGCGTGAATGTGTGAACCATTCAGAGCTTCCGCTTCCCACTGTACCCAGTACCATTTTTTCCGTTTCTTGACCTCTGCCTCCTGCTACCGTATCCAATGACTCTCTCCAAGATTCTTTCCAAGCTTTCCAAATGGAGACGGACGTGACTCACTCACGATAAAGTCGAATTTCGGAATTCACATGTTGTAAATGTCGTAAATGTCGTAAATGTCGTAAATGTCGTAAATGTCGGAAGCAATGTCGTAAAAAGCTTACGACATTTACGACATTTACGACATCTCTTAAATATTTACGACATTCTACGACATTCTACGACATCGTCAAATGTCGTAAACTCTAAATCCGACATTTGGTGAGACTTTAAGTGTTCCGAGTTGAGAGATTAAACGAAATGATGTCAAAGGCTTAACGCTATTACTCTCGCTAAATGTCGGATTTGTCGTATTTAGGGATAAGAGAAAGCTTCGGACATCCTACAACACTCTACGACATTCTATGACATCGCCAAATGTCGTTAACTTTAAATCCGACATTTACGACATTTACGACATCTAAATCACTTTCAGGAAAGACTTATGATTTCTTTTATAGACCTCTATTTAATACTAATAAACGACTTTCGAATCCTCAAGGCTCTCACTGCTGTCTCGCAGTATGAAAACTCCATGAAGGATTCCCAGTAAATAAAACCAGAGAAGCCGTTCGAGACACCGGTCCGTGATTTACTGGTTGGTGACGGCAATGGCAAGCAAGTCATTTCCGTCAAAGTCATGGAGTTTGGTCCTCAAGAACACCACCAGGCTTCGTTTGAGCCAGTCTTTGACGAGATCCACAAGCAGGTTCAAGACGCCATCAAGTTACCATTGTTTGCTACTGAAATGAAATCGAGCTTTTCTACTTCCACTGCGACGCATGTGATTGCATCCCAAATCAATCTCATGGAGGGCTTGCAAGAATTCTTTGAGTACTCTGTATCGTACATGGGATGCGGTCTGAAGCGCCTCGAAATGATGGGCACTGTGGAAGATTGGGAACATCTCAGAGAAAAGTTTAGGCGTGTTCGAGAACTCTTGGAACCCATCAAGAGCCATTTGGAAATGTACCTCCCGAACGAGTGGTGGGCATGTGTGGAAATGGTGTTTGACAATCTGCTGCTAACGGTAAAGGAGCCGGCGCTGGTGGGAACTTTTTGGCGCAACATACTGCTGCAAGCCCCGCCCCATTGGGTGACAGATTACTACGGCAAAAAAGGGAAAGGGATGCGACATCGGGAACAAGTAGATGCATACGATGGCTGGGTGGTACGGTTCTTGGGAGGAAATACAGATATCCTTTGCAACAACGACGTCCACGACATTGTCATTGATGGGGAAACCCGATCAACGAGATGAGTGGTCTTTGCCAAGCACCGCTTAAAGTTACTTTGGAATGGTATGCGCCACCCATCACAGAGGAAGTTCAGTTGATTGGTGGCATCATGGGATTCATCTGCCACCAAGATGATACCATGAATGGTGCCCCAACCCTGCAACCGCATCACATGTGGGCCATGCTGGTATCGCCTACTTCCAAACTCAGAAATGTGCGAGACTTGTCCATTCAGCATAGCGGTTAGAAATTTTCGATGTAAGAAGCCAAGATCACACCTGATGGACAAAAACGACACGTTTCCCTGGCTGAGCATTGGACCTTGTGTTTCCCTCGCCAGCGAGCCCGGGGTATCCTCTGTCACCCAAGCGCCTTCTATTCTTTGGGGCTTGGCCCACTTCGGGCTTCTCAACACCCTGGATTCTTCGCTGGCACGGTACGGTACCGGTACAGTACAACCGTTGTCTCCCATGCCAGCTAGCTAGCAAGTGTGCAGGTACTGGTAGAATCTATGGCTGCATGTAGCTCGCTAGTAGCAAAAGCTGAAGCCAGTGGTCTATGTGGGTAGCTGCAGCTAGTAATGCGGTTATACTAATAATAAAGACCTCCTTGGGTTTCCCTAACTTACTTCAAAGGTACCATAGGTGACGGCTGGGACGCAATCAGCCAGGACACCGGTACGGTACATTGAATTTAAACATAGTTGCCTTCTTTTCTTCTTGAAGCTCGGCCCAGCGTTGCTCGCCTCCCCCGACAGGACTCATTGTAGCTCTAGCGCTAGCGAATGCTACCACCAGCGCGGCCCTACCGTACCTCATGCATGGCCTCGAACCAGCAACGGTAGAGTAGGTGACTTCCACGTGGAACTATGACATCTCAGAGCTGCGCTAATGCCAACAAGCTCAAATCAGGAAGCTCGAGAGCTGTTGGACTAATCAGCGACTGTCACGCCATATATTGCTTGTAAATTGGTATCAGGCAAGAGATTGATCTTTGGCTGATACGGTAGAACAAAGAAGATGCTTTCACTGCTCCTCCTTGCCGCGACGGTACCGATGATCGCAGGTATCCGAGACGAAATGCCATCACCGGCACTGTGGATGGAGCATCACCGTCATCATGTATACCAGAAGTATTCCCAACCAATTAATCCATCGCCACTGCTTGTTTCTCTGGATCCGACAAGACCATCACATTCACGGAGATCTCGGATACCTTTTGGCTTGACAGACAGAAGACCCACCTCGGCTCTACTGTTGCTTCGTGGAGGTGGCTCTATTATTGCTCCCAATATCTACGACAGCGACGACGAGTACGAATATGACGATGAAGAGGATGAGATTGACCTGGTACAAGAAGATGAAGCAACCTCCATGCACCAAAAACGTCGCGATCTTCGCGACAATCTCAACAAAGAGAGCCCCTATGATGACCGCGTTCCTCGAAGACCGGCTCCGTACATTCCCAGGAAAAAGAAGAAAAAGAAAAAGAATGCATTTGTCGAACTGGCCAAGTCATCACTAAACTTATCCAAAAAGGCAGCCGTGACGACGGTCCAAACGTCTGGCAAGGCTGCCTATTACCTGATGCGTCCAAAATCCATCAGTGAACGCGAAATCTTGGGTGTATGGAGGTTGGATCAACAAGTGGGCATGAAACAATCCACAGCCAATATTGAACTCACATCACGAGCGCAAGTCATTATCCGTAGTGGCGATGACGAGACCATTATTTGGAAAGCTCCCTTTTCTTTTGTTGCCCCGACTTGGCCACAATCTTGTCGGGTGGAATTTGAAGCCCGAGCCTTTCAACCTGCAGGGAGCAAGAAACCTCGGCTTTTGTTCTACAAGGGATACCTAGAGCGCAAAATGGCGGATTCGTCCGTCATCAAGATGTCAGGGATACTTTATGAAATCGAACGGCCCCAATCCATGTTTGGACGAAAAGACATGCCGGTTCGCTATCACAAGGCTGGAAGTTTTGTGGGACGACGACGAATAGTCATTCAAGATGATGACGACGATGAGGACGAGGAAGACTTTTCCGACAACGAAGAAGAGCCACGGCGCCAAAGGAGACGGAGGGCGGACGAAGACGAAGAAGATGAAGCCTACCAAGACGAAGAGGATGGGGATGAATATGACTTCGATGAATTTTGAGTGGGGACAGACTGACTGGATGTATGGATCGACGAACATTTGCAACTCAACCGGTGCAGAATGAGAAAGTGCATAAAAGAAGAATCCGTAGTACATGTAGTAGAGACCATCTTTTCAAAGCACCACACGACAGCTTTGAAAGCTGGAGGGGCGCCAAACCACCTCACGCAACAGGGCAACCAAGGAGTAAAGTCTATAGTAGTGGCCCGGGATGGACTACGAGTAACCTCCGTCCCAAGCCACCCAAAGCGGAGACAACGATTTACTGGGTAGCCATGGCTGGCTTGCAATTCTGTGTTCCTGCATATCCTCCACCTCCGGCTAACTTTGGCATTAGAGCGGTGGCGTCTACTACTAGTACGTACCGGTATAGCGATTCACACTTCCAAAGTAGGCAAGTCAACGAGCTATGCTCTCCTAGAGTGGCGCAACCGGTCGTTTTGCCAGCTACGGATGTAATGGATGAAGGACAAGAATGAAACTTTCTTTGGCAACGGCAAGTGCACAGATAGGAATGCAACTGCTTTTGCTTGATGGTGTTTACTCCAGAAGCAACAGGTTTGGCGCAGTCAAAATCGTGGCATCATTTGCACGAGACAGTCATTACACCTTTGGTGGGTTTTGGTCCAAACTCGGCCATGTAGGCCTCAGTCCATTCTCTACGTTTCTGATTAAAAGCTTCCTATAACTGGGTACGCGTCCAGTCTTCGACATGTTTGTGCCCCTCGTGTGCAGCGATTATTGCCAAATCCACGAGATCATATTTTGATGGACATCCCTTTTTCCAGGCCCACTTCAGACAATTCAAGTGGCCATGCAAAGCGGCAGCCGCGCACGTTATATGGTCCAAGGGCAATCCATTCTCATGGGACCATTGCAAGACTTTCAGATGTCCACCCATAGCAGCATACAAGCAGATTCTTTCATCCAAAGGGCAGCCCTTTTGATGAAGCCATTTCAGAATGTTCAGATTTCCGTTGAAGGCAGCCTTGGCGGATGTCTCTGTGTCCAACAGACAGCCCCTACCGGTATCATGAACATACTGCAGGATGTCAAGGTGTCCATTCGCGGCGGCATTGTGGCATGTTCGAGAATCCAAGGGACATCCTTTCTCATGGGCATATTGCAGGACCTTCAGAAAGCCTCCACAAGCGGCTCGGACACAAGTGGATTCGTCCCAATCCCACGGACAGCCCTTTTCATGAGCATACTGGAGGATGGCAATGTGTCCATACGTGGCAGCATCATTGCACGTTCGAGAATCCCAGGGACATCCATTCTCATGGGCCCATTGTAGAATTTCAAACTGTCCTGCTGCCGCCGCTGCTGAGCATGTAGATTCATTCCACGAGCAACCATGGTTGCGCCACCATTTGAACAGATCCAAGTTGCCATGGTGGACAACATCAGTGCATGTCACGGAAAGTGCATCAAAGGGACAGCCATTTTCATGGGCCCATCGTAGTGGTTCAAAATGGCCGTTCTTGGCAGCACATGTGTAAACATGGGAACTCCAGGGAAAGTCCATACCACGCAACCATTGGAGAAGCCCTAAATGACCACCAGCAGCAGCGCCTTCACAAGCTAGAGCTTTGAATCCTCGTTCGATGGCCCACTGAAGAACTGCCTGATTCCCAGTCTTGGCGCTAGCGAAGCAAACCCAATGTGAGACGGGCCTCGTAGTACTGCGGCGATCACGGGTCAGCCAATATTCAGCACACGCCACACTGCAGAAGATGGCGCTGTGAAAAGTGTCCTGGCTCGTCGCGGGTCGATAGGAGAAAATAGTTTCATCTTGTCGGTTGAAAAATTCGACAACATAATTGTAACTAACGATCCTTCGTGGATTGTCAATAGTCCGCACTCTTGGTGGAATTTTCGTTTTGTCCCAGTAGCTCTTGTAAATATGATTCAGATTCTTGTTGAGAGGTCCAACAAAAGCATAGTGGCCCATGCCCAGATAGGAAAAGATGGAATCGCGAAACTTTGGATTAAGAAGAAAGAATTCCAAAGGAGAATAGTCCTTGTAGTGTTCATTCGTAAGCGCGTTGACCAGTGCCACAGAGGCTGAATCGTTTGAATCAAGCAATGGGAAGATCTGGTCAACCCAAACATTGTCCGTTGCCAGCAGGCGGAGAAGGACGGTTTCATTGTCGTTGTCACGTGCGATATTCATATTTTGTTGTTGCTGTTGCTGTTGCTGCTATTACTACTGAAGGCGCACAGATATACCGTCTACGTGTTTGTCGCTTTGTCGCTTATTGTTGTGGCTGGTTGACGGCTTTGAAGATGACAGAACGGCGGTGACAGAACGACGGTGAAGAGGACGCTTGGTTTGGGATGTTGTTTGTTGCGGTTGCCCGTTGATTCTCGGACTCTCGGCCAATTCCGCCAATGACAGAACACATTTTTGCAAAATGTTTACATTTATTTGCAAAATGTTTTATATTTCCCTTTTAAAAGGCAAAATATTCAAAATGAAAAATCGATTCGAATTCAATTCGGCTCAGACTGAGATCATTCGATGAACTACATACTGTAAACGGAGCGAAGCCAAGACACCAAGATCCAAGATTCTGTGCTTCCAAAGACCTTCCAAATGGCCACTTGGGAACGGTACGAACTTGACACGAGCATCAAAGTTTCGTAAGATGAGAAGAGATCCAACCATGTCATTGAGAGCCCTGCTATCGCTATTGGTGGTGCTCGCAGCCAGTAGCTCGCAACAAACTCAGGAGTTTGAGGATTCTAGCTCTGGATCTTACCCACAAGAAGAAATCCTACTGCCTACCACCCATTCTTGGCTTGTACCGCCGGATGATTCGGGTCTGTTGGCGTCCTTGTTGGGGTCTGCGGATCGACGGGATCGATTCTTTGTGGAAGACTTTGGGCATCGAGTGGTCCATTTCTCGAGCTCGGATATGAAGCTGCAGCTGCCACCCAGTCTTCAGAACATTGACATGCGGTTATTGTACGAACACAGTCCCGTGACGCTACGCAATCGCAGCAGTATGGACATTGTCGACAACCAAAAAATGTCCTTTGACTCTTTCGAGTCCATCATCAACCAAGAGGGAGGATCGGCTACCTTTGAAATATCCTCACTGCTATCCAAATACGCCCACAATCCGCTTCTGCCATTAAAACGACAATTAGAACATGCCTTTGGACTCGCCATGAGCATAAATGTCTACCACAGTGGGCCAGGAGGCTCGGCTTTGAGGAGACATACAGATCGATACGATGTCTTGGTGGTTCAGTTGGAAGGTGCCAAGGAATGGACTCTCTGCATTCCACGGCCAGATCCATACGCTATCACGGACGGTACCACCTTGACCCAAGCCGATGCTGCATCCATTGCTGATGCGGATTGTAAAAGGGGGGACAAAAAAGTCTGTGGAGTCGACATGAGCAGTACTGCAAGTTTTACCGACCTCAAGAATTCGGCTTTCATGTGTTGCAAGGACTCCAATGTGACTCTCAAACATGGCATGGACTGCAGCCAAATTTCAATGCACAAGGGAGATGCCATGTACATGCCACAGGGGATTGTACATTCGGCGCAAGTACCACCATCGCATCAAAGATCCACTCACGCAGCCATTGGATTCAAGAAGGTCCCGTTTCGATACGTAGACTTGCTGCTGACCTTTCTCCGTCTGGCTGGGTCTGTGTCATCATCCCCCGAAATTTGGAATCAACTCCAGCAATGGCTAGAAAAGGATATTATCGAGTCCCCTACAGCAGGATTATACTTTCGGAGATTGTTGCCACCCTGGATTTGGAGGTATTACCAAGGGTGCATCCTCCCAGCCACCAAACAAGCAACGGAGACGTCCCCCACAGCTCTGCCCGAATGGGGATGTGACCAAGAGAAGCATCAGGAAGCCAAGCGCTTTTTGATGAACAATCTACAAAGCATGCTCGTCCTCATGCGAGAGTTGGCCCTCCAACAAGTTCACAACCCACCCAAGCACCCGTCTCCCCAATTGCAGCAACTGATGCCAGAAAACTTTCTATTAGCTCATGTTCTGGATGGCATAGTGCCAGTGCAGGCAGAGCAGCAGCACCTCCTAACGCTGCTTCTAGAGGACGCCATCAATGTTCATCTACTGGAGAAGATTGACATTGGAACCCTCGAGCGAGAAGAACGAGAGATCATTGAACGCAATGAAAAACTGTCTTTGGAGGCAAACAAGCTCTTGGAATCTTTCTTTGGACCAAGCACCGGTAGTAAGTCCGGGGACAACAGCCTTGAGGATGTGCTGGAATCCTTGAAGAGCGAAATGAATAGCTTGAAAGCTAGACGCCGCGAAAACCGCCGTCATCATGCCAGAACAAGCTAGCTAGCTTTGTAGATGGCAGCGTCCTGTCGAGTGTAAATCAAGTCATGGCAAATCTGTCAAACTGATTGCCAAACGATTTTGGTTGCTCCTGGTACTGCTCAATCAAACAATAGGACTAACCAGAGACTGGTTGCTGCCTGTGTTGCTTCGGTGGCAGCAGAACCTGGAAAAGAACATGCAGGAAGGATTCTGGCATGCACAAGTCTCCAATGATGGTCATCGCGTTGTGTTTTGTCCACGCCTCGGGCGGTAGTCTCGTAGCAGTGATGGTAGATGGTAGCCAGCCCGTGGACAGGCCATTGCTCCTGGTTCTGGTGGTTTGCACTGCCATGCATTGGTTCGGATATTGGTAGCCGAGAAGCCAATACATCTTTCATACCTTACCCGGTTCCCCGGTACTGTGAGCGAAAGCAGATGTGGCAATCAAGAAGAAAACGGATGCCCAAATTCAACTATGTCGCTCGTGCCTTAGGTACAACATTTAACCGCTTCATAGCACATCAGGGGATGTTCGTCCTCAAGTTCGGGTATCACCGGTCCAAGCTAGGTCCAAGTACCAAGAAAGGAAACCGGCAACTGCGTCGATGTAGAGTGTTGGTACATCGTCCGAGTGGAGAGTGAAGTGGTACCAGTACCGGTACATGTACTACCTGGTAGCTAGAGCCAGCTAGCTAGCTAGAATATATGATGCTGCTTATTTTCGCTGGGTCTCTTGGTGACTTGATGTGACCCGAAGGCCCGAAGGGGAGCGGGGCGTCACATTGTAGTTCGCAACTTGACCACGATTTGACTCCAACTCGAACATTTTTCCATCCAACCCGAACAAAAAGTCAGGCTTCTGGCAATGGAACAGAACAGGATCGAGGTAGATTTGCTTCTTATAGTGATCGTAGACCATTTCTCTAGTTCACAAAGGCAGCGCAGTTGCCATGCAGTCATTCTGGGATCTTCAGCTTGAGGACTGCAGTCTACGCTGGTACTAAGATAGAAATGACACCCGAATGAATGGATACCAATCCGATTTTGAGACATACCGGTGCCGGTACTAGTACACTGCATCAGAAGAAACAAACACTAGAACACTGGTCCTCTTTTGCTCACAATTCACACTTTTAGGCTTGATTCAGTCTGCCGCCGTTTCACAAAATCAGCAACTCTCCTCAACAAAACTTACCAAGAATCCACATCAGCACCGGCAACATGAGCTTTAACTCACTCTTCGACGCCACATCATACTTTGAAACCGTGTCGGAAGTTAGCGAGAGTTGGGACCTGGTCAAGAACACCCCCAACCACTCGGAGATCCTGGGTACGCATTTATTCAGAAGGTAAGCAGAAAGGATACGCTGGCGACACTGAGGTTCCAATGAAGAATTCATGTCTCTCACAAGATTTGCTTCTTACTCCCCCAGAATGTATGAAACGGCACCCAACGATGTCATATGGAAGGCCTACTCCTTTTCTAGAGAGGACGTAGAAGAGAAAAGCGAGAAGTTTCTCGTCTTTGCCAAACGCTTTACTCGCATGCTCGACGTCGCAGTTAGCATGCTAGGTCCCGACCTTGACACTCTTCAGGAGGCCATGTATGATCTGGGTGCGATGCACGAGCGTTACGAAGTGATGCCCCATCACTACGATCTGATGGGCGAGGCATTGGTGTACGCATTGGAGCATGTTTTGGAGCCGCACCATTATACCCCGGCAACCAAGAAAGCCTGGAAGGAACTCTACGCTTTCATGGCAGAAAATATGATGGAGGGAGCTTCGGACTTGTGGTGACAACAACGCGACACCACCCAGTACGACGTTTGCCTCGACAGATTGCATAGATTGTTCATAAAGAAGTAGCTTTTCATAGAGATATATATCGCTCATGCATTCGAGTCGTCAAAAGCCTGTGTGGCGCCTCCCACAGAAAAGGGATTGTAGGTTGTGAGAACCCTTACTAGTAGCCCAAAGAATAACTATCTTTGAAGAAACGACCCTACTGACTGGAACAATAAGATACGGCCACCGCATTCATTCCTTTTTGGACACCTTTTGTGCATGCTTTGCATAGAGCTGAGCCTTTTTCTTGTTGCGTACAAGTTCTGCCCGCTGACCATCTGTTCTGCCAAAGAGTACCCCGAACAGTGCAATTGACATGAGTATTATCAGCAAGGGTATAGGCATTTCCGCCATGGACTCGGGCGGATCATCCTCTCCTTTAACTGGAAATCGATACTGATTCATAATGTTGTAGTATTGCAGGACAGCATACCCCGCGAGAACGAATTTGCGTGCATTGGATGAAGGTTGGAATAGACCCAGGCCGAGCAACGTGATGGAAATGCAGGCAAAATTGCCTCCCAAGACGGCAACGAAATGGGCCTGCAGCGGACTCTCTACGGGAAATCCAAAGAGCTGCTCAAATGTCTCTTCTGAAGGAAGATAATGAGCACAACATCAATTCAGAGGAACAGAAAGGATGAGAATCGTGTCCTCTGACTTGATTGCCACTGATAGAGGGAAGCAATGAACTGCATACCTGGTTGTGTCAAGTGGCCGTAGGCAAAGAATGCCATGATGAGCCCCAGAAGCACGCAGCAGATGGTATCGATCGTCGGGATCATCTTGGACCTGGCTCTTCCTCTTTGACAACTTCCGAACAGGACTGCTACTACAGTCTACTCGCGCTAATATTTATAATATTATATTTATCCTCGCTGTAATATTTATTAAATCTCGAGGTCCCCCCCTCAGTCCCGGGTATCCGTGAATGAATCTTTGGAGCAGCAACAAATCTTTCGAGCAGCCTGACAACGTCGTCCAATCCATTCCAACCGTTTCAATTTGACCGAGACAGCATGTAAAATGCCAATATCGATCCAATGGAGGTGGGATTCCTCGCACCTCTGCCCGTGGCTGTCTTGTCTGGGCCAGCCCAAGCGCTGGTTGTTTACGTGCAGTTTTCGAAGGATGGTTTCGAGGAGACAAAAACAATTCTCCTGAGCTGCCAAACAATTTCACCCAAACCATACCAAACCCTCCAATCTGACATAGACCAACATGAACGGCGCCGATTCAACCAACATGAACGGCGCCGATTCAACCGTAACGAAGAAAGGAACGAAGAAAGGCGGAAAGAGGGGACCAAAAGCAGGTTCAACGAATGCTACTGGGAAAAAGAACAGAGGCTGAAGAAGCACTCAATAAGCTGTCCGAAAGTGCCTCTGCTTTGGGTATCAACCAGGCAGCCACTGTGCATCTTGACAGGTTTGCTAGGGCATTGAATGTGGCTAGGGCTGCTAGGGCGGGCAAACGTAAACGCGACGGCTCTATCCATTCGTACTTTACTAGTGGAACCGGCCCTTGAAAGCCTTATATTTATTCTCTCTAATATATTTATCGAAATCCGCAATCCCCCCCCATAAATAATAGAGCGAGTCAACTGTACAGCCTTTTACTAAGGGATAAGTAAGTGAACATGGGTGCTTTTCAGATTGGGCTGCATGTTAGGTTCTTGTCTCTTGCGGTCACGGCTGTTAAGTCTTTTACTGCTTTTCAGTCCGTCATACATCCCACCGCTTTCAGCACGAAAGATGACCTGACAATAACAGACACGGGACACGGAGAGGGTCCAAAAGAACAACCACAACAACCAAAATTGGGTTGCCTTTGTCGCCAAAGGAACAGATAAAGGCGACTAGCTACAGTAGCTATTAATAGTTGGGGTGAAGACCAAACAAAAACCGTGTGAGCCATCGCCACAGAAGGCTGATCAACGATACGATAATCCCGCGACCGTTGCCAAAGATCTTCTCTGAGGCCGGAACTGCCTCCAACAGTATGCTGTGGTAGTGGCTCTTTTGATAGATAGATACATCACTGTATTCCTTGTTTTGGTATTTCAAAAAGTCATGCAGCAAGAAAATGGTCGGTTTGAAATACAAGCTGTGCTTGGGGATCTTGCTCATGGTGGTGATGCTCTGGCCGTGCGCTAGTGGTCGTCTGCTGGGAAAGGAAAAGGCCAACCACAAGTACACAAAGGTCCAAGAGGGGGAAGCCTTTGTTCAAGACTACGACAATGTAGATGAGATGGATGGAGTTAGAAGGTTGGAAACCACAGGAGAGACATATACCTACCGGTTCGATGTTGCTACCACGCTTGTGTTTAGTGGTGACTATGCCTGGGACGCGACAACTGAGGCCGTTAGGGATCTGGTGGGGTCGACAGAGGTCTATCTGAGGCAGTATTTTGCAACGGAACATGCAGCTTCTTACTCTAGTGTTGCGGCATCCTATGTTGAGCCATTTGTGTGGGAACCCAATCTGGGAAGGCTAAGATTCTTGTTCACAGCGGAAGTAGTATTCAGGAAGGTTGGGGATGAAGATCACCCTTCACCCAGCGAGACGTTGGCAGACGCGACCACTGCCATGAACTCTGACGACTACATCAACGGATATGTAGTGCTTGCTGAACCTGCTACCTTGTTCAATTTGTAAGTCTGCGTCGTTGACTTGGGTGCTAATATGGCAAGATTTGGTCCGTCCTGAGCTCACTTCGAATGTCGTGCCTGCCTCCTATCCCACCAGTGCCATCGGTGCGACAAGTACAGTCGTGGCGCAGCCAACGCCCAATCCAACAGCCGCACCGACCAATATGCCATCCTTTGGTCCTTCAATGATCCCTTCTGTGAAGCCGTCATCCCATCCGAGCAACAGCCCATCACACGCGCCAAGTCGTTTCCCATCAATTTCCCCCAGCTTATCACCGTCGTTGCGTCCCTCTCGAGCTCCGTCTAACGGTCCTTCGGATGCAGCGGTTCCATCCGCGGTGCCTTCTCTGTCACCCTCTGTTTCTTCTGGTTCACCTACAACAGGCCCACTTCCTTCTCTGTTGCCTTCAACTAGACCCACAACTACCCAATTTCCTTCCACAGGCCCGTCTTTGTCAATCACTCCCTCGAGTCAGCCTTCCGTGGGCCCTTCGATCTCGTCTGATTCACCCAGTGTGGCACCATCAGTGGCTTCTGACTCACCTAGCGAGGCTCCATCCTTATCGAGTTCTCCGACGAGTGCTCCCACAAAGGTTCCCACCAATGCACCATCCAAAGAACCTTCAGCTGTTCCGTCCTCGCTGCCCAGTGTCTCAAGCTACCCATCCGCGTCGCCCTCTGCCACTCCGTCTCTGTTGCCCAGCGTTTCCCCCGCTCCAACAGTGTCAAAGCATCCTTCTGTCGCCCCTTCTGACCCTCCGTCTCTGTTGCCCAGCGTTTCCCCTGCTCCGACAGTGTCAAGGAGTCCTTCTGGGCCCCCTACTGCCACTCCATCTTTAGCGCCAAGTAAGTCCCAGCAGCGCTTTTCTGTTTTTGCGTGGACGAGATAGTGCAAGCAATCCCGTTTGCTCACCCTTCGTCTATGCTGGCCATGATCTCTCTAAGGCAAATCCCCATCAGCATCCCCGTTGTCAACAACGATTGCACGTGGCGACCAAACGATCGAAGCGCGATCGCACCGATACTGGACACCGGGGGAAGGCGACCAGCGGCGCCTCTTGGTTGAACAGGAACACGACAATGATGAGTACGACAAGCAGCAGTTGAAAGGAGGAATCCGATCTCTGCAGACCACTGAGCGGATAAGCTACACTTTCGACGTTGCTTCAGAACTCCAGTTTGGTGGCAACTACACTGATGAACCCACCTCGGAGACCGTATCTAACCTGATTCGACTGAGTGGAATCTACCTGAAACGCCGATTTGCTTCTGCCTACGCTGTATCATATTATGATGTTTCGGAAAAGGAAACTGGGCCGTTTGTGTGGGATTCAGATCTAGGAAAGCTCCAATACTTCTTTGAAACTATGGTTGTGTTCCGACAAAGGGGGGACGTCGTTGTGCCAACATCAAATCAGACATTGGACACCATTGACGAAGCAATGAATGCTGATATCTACATCTCTGGATTTGTATGGGATGCGGAACCAAATACTCTATTCCCACTGTAAGTTTGCTTGTCATGTCTTGACGGGGGTGAATTCGATGCTTCTGGGGGCTCTCATCGGCGATTTCTTTTCTGAATGCTTCCGTGAACAGTGCCGTTGGAATCACCAGTGTTGTCTCTTCGCAGACAGCGCCTTCGGTCCCGATTGTTCCGGCAACAGTGACATCATCTTTCAACGCTTCGGAGCCGCCGTCAATGCTACTCTTGAACACCACTGCACCCACAATGAGACCTTCCACACCACCAGGTAAGCCAGCCGTATTGTTTTGCCCAAACAGCCAATCAAGTTTCTCGTAAATTGCTTCACTTCCCTTACTCACGGATGACTTCCGACTTCCTGATGCTGCAGACATCACATGGTCCTGGACCCCAGAGGATGTATGGGTGTACAGCGAAAGACAAGACGGAGGCAACTAAAATAGGGAAAAGATTACTAGTATGTTAGCTTGCTGTGCAAAACAGAGAATCACTGATAAACTTAAAAAATAAACTAGCGATAGTAGCAACGTACGGAAACTAGCTAGTGTTGCGGCTCATACTGCATGCACCTGCTACCTCTGCTAGCTAGCCAGGAGACTAGCTATCTACACGTACCAGCATTATCAATATGGGGTACAACAGGAGGAGCCAGATAGCGGGCTGGCTGCTGGCTGGAATGACATCTGCTTGCAGTTTTATTATTGCAGAAAAATCGCCAGGGTACCCGCTCCTACCAGGTACCGCCGGTAGCTAGTCTAGTCTAGCCCAGCTAGTCAGTTACTGGAAACTGTCAAAATTGAAAAGGTGAAAAAGGACAAACATATGTTTTTGCCTTCAAAAACAACCATTTGTAAGAAATAAATAGTCATTTTGTCGGATCTTGTGTTGGAGCTGTCGGCTTGTTGGCTTTTCGTCCTTTGCCTTCGCCTTGGCATCACAATGCAGTTGGGTGTTACAGTCCAATGTCTCATTCTTTGCCAATGTTCGGCCTTCCAGTTTCCCCCGAGCAATGGGTTGAGGGGCTTGACAAACGCTGGGCTGCCTTTGGATTACAGGTGCAAATGTCTGGGTGCCACCACAAATTTGAGCTCTATGTGGATGATATGATATTCTTTTCCTCCCATGGCCAGGCTGACAATGTCTCTGTTGAGAATGGTATGTTTTCTTTTCTCGTGTTTCTCTTTTCTTGATTGGCCACTGGTACTTACTCCTTTGCTTGCACTGCCCCCCCCCCCCCCACAGGCAAAATAGTTGCTGCAGACGAACCTGCCAAGATTGACGAACCGGACACATGTGGCGGTTCGGATGCCTCAGAGCCCCCAGCGGTAGCACGGAAGAAAGAACGGTTTCCGTCCCGTTTGTCATTGTTTTCTTGGAAGGAAAAAAAAAAAGGAAGCAGAGGGTACGCCTGTCTCGTTGATGGAACAACAGATAACCTCCAAGTGTAAAACAGCAACACCAAGCAGCAGCGCAATCTGTGAGCTTGAATCTCACAGGAACTAAACCGGCACCAAAAACACCTGGAACACGCCTGTGTTCAGTGAGTCACCTTGTATTGTTCTGTTTTCTTATGAACTGTGTCTGCATTTCCGGTGCTCACGTTTTCCTTCCTTTTCCGTGCTGCTACAGATGAGGATCAAGCATGGAGCGCCAAGTTGTCGACCAAGGCAGGAACTCCATTTGGTGGTGATGCATTTACTACACCAGCCAAGCATGAAAGTTCTTCTGGAAGTAGTGCTCGATCATCGATTGGCTCAGATGCGACTTTTGCCGCGGCCTCCGAGGGTGGTGCTTCTCTCAAAGTCGGAGATGAGAATGGTACGTTGTGTGTTGTTGTGTTACTCTTTTCTTGCTTCGATTGGCTGCCTCGTCCTCACTTTTATGCTTGCACTGCTTCCCAACCCAATAGTTGCAGGCGAACCTGCCAAGGTGGACACGGACACAAGTGGTGAATCGGAGGACACCTCGGAGCCCGCAGTGGCAGGTGGCGTGGAGGACGAAATAAATGGGCCTTTCTAGGAAATTTTATGCCCTACTTGCCTCGTTATACCTCATTAGTACCTAGCTAGCTAGCTGACCATGAAGACCATCATCTGCCCGCCTACAGTCCGCCCTAGTCAGCCGTTTATTGATGCTCTCGCTGATGTCTTGCCCGTTTGTGGGTACCAGACGGATGGAAAGATTTGAGTAATTTGTCGTTATTGTAGCTGTTGGAGAGTAAAATGGGCTCCACGGCGTCGTCGATAGAGGCGTTGTTGCAGGCGTCGTCGACCATAATAGTGCTGCTTGTATGCAGTGGTTTGTCGGCTTTCCGCGGTCATCGTCAACTAAAGGTAGATTGTTGCTGTTGCGAGCGAATTTGCGTCGTCGTAGTAGCCGTCGTGGAGAAATTTTTCGTCGTCGTAGGTGCTGGTTGATGCTGTCAACGAGTGAAAAAAAGGCTCAATTGCGACCAAAGGCGGTTCGGCGATTTGGGAGCAGCAACAGCTGGTAGCGCGGGCGAGACCGAAGTTGTTATTCTGGACTGTGACGAGTATCGTTGGAGGGGTAGCAATGTTGCTCTCAGGATGGCGGTGATTGCGTGGTGGATGAGAGCAATTTGTTGCTATTTTCGGCGTCACTACGGGCGCGACAATCCGAGTTGCTTGTTGAGGAAGATTGTCGGCAAATGGCGCGTGGACGCAGTCGACATCAAAGATGATTTGTTGTGAGTTGTGAGCGAGAAAATTACCGGGGGAGAGCGGCGTCGCCGTCATTGCAGATGTCGACTGCTACGAGCATTGATGCAATTGTAGTATTATCTCCGTCGTCCTCCCGTGGATTCGTTGAGGTCAAAATTGTTGCTTGGTTTGTCTTGACTGTGACGAGGCCGAGCGTCGTAGCACTGCCGTAGTTTGTATTGTTCTTTGCTGTTGATTTTGTCGGTTGAATCAAAGACAGGTTGAATGGAGTAGACAGTTTAGTTGTCAGCTTTCCCTCTTTGTCCGTGGAATTCACTGTCACATCATCGTGGGCTGCATCAGCTGCTGTATATAGAGAGCGATTTGCCCTTGTCGCTAGCTAGCTTCCTACCTGGTACGACTGTACCATGATACTCGAGCAGTGCATTTTCAGTTTTGCAACTCTTGCAGATCCAGGGAGAACTCCAGGAACCAAAATCGCTTCCACCATGGCAATCATCCCGTAGCCAACAGTACAACAACCAACCAACAACAACCAACAACACTTATGAAACGATCGAGATATATTATCTGTTTGCCTTGCATTGGTGTGTGAGTGGCTACATACTCTACCGTAATAGCTACTAGCAAGCTAGCTAGTAAGGGCATTCTCTAATACTTTCGTTCGTCCTAAAACTCGTTCTAACTCTACTAGAGTTTAGAACGAAGATTTAGGACGAAAGCAACCTCTAACTCCTAGTCGTCCTAAAGTTAGGACGATTTTTTTTTCCCTCGTCCTATTTCACTGGAATAGGACGAACTTTTCAACTCGTTCTAAAACTCGTCTTGGCTGAAAAAGGCTTCTTCCAGCCAGTAAAAAACTGCAGCAGCAGCCATAAAACAGCACTGCAGCAGCCACAACAGCACAACACACACAGTCATTATAGTACACTAGTCAATATGGAAGAGGACTTCGAAGAGTGGATGCTAGACGTGGACGAGGAGTGGGAAGAGCTCACCTCTGTGGCTCAAATGTTTGAGTCGGATTCAGCTACCGCAGTTGACCTTCTGTTTGGTAATGCCGAAGCCGTTGCCACGGTTGATCACCGCACTTTACCTCGTGGACCCAGGAAGAAATATGATCACAAGAGAGCATACAAGTGTATCAAAGATGACTATCTTGGTCCTTCTCCATTGTTTAATGACAAACAATTTGAACTTCAGTTCCGTTGTTCCCGTGCCCGTTTCCAACGAATGCTAGAGGATTTTGGCAATAGTGGAATTCCTTTCTATACCGGCAAGAAAGAATCCTATCTGGAGGCCCGACTTCTTTTGCCCCTGAAGACTCGTGCATATGGTGTGGCAACACACTGTTTCATGGATTACTTCCAAATGTCGCCAACATTCGCACGGGATGCATGTATTAAATTTGACCGTGCAATTTCTCGCCTTTATGGCAATGAATACCTTCGCACTCCCACCTCATCCGACATCAAGAAGATCCTACAGTGCCACAAGGCAGCACATGGTATTGATGGTATGTTTGGGTCCCTTGACTGTATGCACTGCCATTGGAAGAATTGTCCTGTTGGTTGGCAAGGATCATACCTAGGGGCCAAAGGAAAACCAACCATTGTATTGGAGGCTGGAACCGATTTCCATTGTTGGTTTTGGCATGCGTCCTTTGGCTATTGTGGTACCCTCAATGACAAAACAATTTTAGATTTGTCTCCATTGCTGGAGGCAATGGTCGACGGTACCTTTGAAGCCAATGAGCGAGATGCGGTTCCATACACAGTCAACGGAAAGTCCTTCAACCAAGTATTCATTCTAGTCGATGGAATTTATCCTCAATATGCTCGGTTTGTTCGAGGAATTACAGAACCAATTACGGAAGCTGAGAGGACATACACTCGTTGGCAGGAAGCTTGCCGCAAGGATGTCGAGCGGGCTTTTGGAATCCTTCAAGCCAAATTTCAGTACATGACGCATCCATTGATGGAGCATAGACTAGACTTGATTGGGAGGACTGTCACGTCTTGTCTCATTTTGCACAATATGGGTGTGGCTGACCGAGTTATGGATGGTGATCCCAGGGCTTGGTACGATCCTACAAACAGTTTCGAGACAGAGAATCCAATCGTAGTGGCCCCACCTGACCGGGAAGAAATTCAGCGTCGGGATGGCAATGGTGCCAATCCCGCAAATGCAATTGGCTTGGGTGGACGATCGAATGTGGAAATTGAAGGAATTACTCGTAGAGACCAGTGGAGAAAGGTTAGAGATGTTGACGAACATGAGCGCCTACAGGAGGCATTGACTGCGGAGTGTCAGCGTCTAAGCAGAGAGTTCTTTGGCAACAACTAGATATTATAATTATTATTAGATCCTACGACAACAATAGTTGGCAAACAACTCTCATCTCTAAACATCGGTACCAGTAACGGTATCGGTACCATTGGTGTCGGAACCAGAACCGCCCAAGGGAGGCAAAGTATCGACATCGTCTTCGTCTGCAGCTCCTTCATCATCAGCCTTTGCCTCAGCTTGATCGAGTTTCCCAAGATTTTCGTACTCAGAATAGGGTTTCATCTGGGCATTCATAGCTCTATTCATCACATTGTTGGCCTCGTCAATTCGACCCATGTCTTTGAGGAATTTCGCAAAGCCAACATGGGCACTGACGGTGGCTCTCTTGGCTGCAATGGAATTGAATTCTTTATGGTCAGCAGTCAAACGATCGATAGCTTGGACTTTCTTTTCATCAGAGATACCCTCCAACATATTTTCGAATTTGTCGGCGATGTTCTGCCAGTACTTTGCCCTTTTCCTTGGCTCCCTTCTTGAGATTGCATGTCACATTCGCAACGGCACGGGAAAGACAGTAGTCATCGAGCTTGTCATATTTTGCATCCCTCTTTTTTGCTTCTCCTTCAGCTTTGATGTCGTCTTGATTGGCTTTGGCTTTTGAATTACCATTCTTCTTGCCACGGCCATTACCACGACCGGTACCACGGCCACTGCCACGACCACGGCCACGACCACGGCCACGACCACCGCCTCGTCCACTGCCACGTCCACAAGGGAAGGCAATGGTCACGCCTTTCTTCCCTTTGGGCTTCTTCGCAGTATCCTCCTCGTCCTCGGAGTCATCTTCATCGGATTCCTCTGCTGAGGTATCTTCTGCATTTTCTTCGTCTTCAGAAGAGTCATCGTCAATGGCGGTCTTGCCGGTCGGCTCCTTTCCTCGAACCTTCTTCAAAGGAGGAGGCTGCTCGCTCATCTTCAGAGTCGGAAGAGAGATCATCGTTAGTCTTCTTCTTGGTGGCGGCGGCTCTGGTAGCAGCAATCTTCTCGGCAGCACGGTTGTGGCTGTCAATGAAATCTTCAACAGGAGGATCGGATACGGTCACCATTGTCAAGTCAATTTTATTACTCCTTTCAGCCAGCTATCAATGCTACAAATCAAGCCAAAATGTGAAGAGGAAGCCGTCATGATGCCACAGAGCGAAATGCCACAGAGCGAAAGAAGAAAGAAACTGACTGCCGAAATTGCCGAAATTGCCGATTGCCGTTGACAGGGAGCGAACTGTTAGGACGAAACGGTAGGAAGAATTTTTTAGAGGTTGCACTCGTCCTAACCTTAGTCCTAAATTTAGGACGAGTTTTAGAACGACTTTTTTAGAGATTGCCAATTCGTCCTAAAAACTCATCCTAAGTTTAGGACGAGTAGCTTAGGACGAGTTTTAGAACGAAAACTACTAGAGAATGCCCTAATAGCTACGGTACTACCGGTAGTTAGCTACGACATGTAGCTACCGTATCGGTAGCTCTCCTCCTCTTCCTGGAAGGCAGCCGATTAGGCCATTCGCTAAAAATAAGAACTCCAGAAAGTCGTGTGGAGTCGTTCGCGATTCACTGTAAGTCACGCTGCGCGACTTGGAAAGTCGTTCGTGATTCACGGTAAGTTGCGCTGCGCGAATAATAAATACTAGCATTTACAGTAATAAAGATGAAGTAAGTCGCGGTAAGTCGCGGTGAAGTCGCACCATTCGTTCTATTCGCGCTGCGCGAATCGCGAGTCGAATCGGCTGCCTTCCTGGACCGTCCGACGGTTTTCGATCAGGCTTTAAAAAACTGCCAAGACTGGTTCGCATTAAGGGCATGTTTTTAGGGCATGTTTATTTTAAGAGCATGTATAGGGCATGTTGCTGATTTAAGGGCATGTTTTAAGGGCATGTTTATTTAAGGGCATGTTCATTCGTGATAAGGGCACGTTCTATGGTGTTTCAATGAAGGCTTAAGGGCATGTTTTGAGGCATTAGGGCATGTTTTAAGGGAATGTTTAAGGGCGTGTTGAAGATTTAAGGGCATGTTTAAGGGCATGTTTTGAACCGTCATCAGTCATGGGCTCGCGCAAAATCCAGCGCCACGCTTGGTTCGTCATTCAAATCCAGTGAGTTGAAGTTGTGTTGAAGTTGTTAAATCATTTTCAGTACCGTTTCTGTATTTTATTAAGGTACAACTATGCATAACAGTACCGGTACCGGTATGACCTTTCTGAATTGTTCCTTTGTGCCAGTTCCCTTCTCGAAGCATTGAAAGCTGGCTTAGCATTGAAATCGCCAGGATCCATCCGCCTTCTCTTGGTGGACCCCCATTCGTAATATGGCAGCGCCAAGCTGTGAGAAATACAGTTTGGTTTACCGGTAAACATCGCGAGAGAACAACAAAACGACGCCTGCTGGATGATCCGGCAATTAGGTGCCCAAGCTAATTATGAATCACGAGTGAATGTTGCACGGTTCACAAGGGGGATTTTTAAGCGAGACGATCTCCTAAATAGTCTTTTAAAACCGGTGCGAGTATCCAAAACGGTCAATTATTTTTAGGCCATCACCTGAACGATCACCTAATTCTTCGAGAAACAACCCGTTAAATCCTAGTAGCAGTATCCTAAATCCAGGCAGTAGCCTAAATAGTCTCCTAATACCTGCAACGGTCGCCTAAACGATCACCTATTTTTAACCGTCGCCTAAACGGTAGCCTAAATGATCGCCTCTTGGTGACTTCAATATGATTGTTCAATCACGAAACGATCGTCACAAATTAGCATTGCCGGATCGTCCTGGAAAAAAGTGCGTTGTAATCCATGGAGAGTACGTCTATCGGACTTTTGATATGCAAGCAGTGTCTGTTATAGTAGTAGGAAGAGGTTGACGAATGGTATTGGTGGCGCGTTCCACTCCACCTGATAGCACTGTTCGCTCAAAGGAAGGCTTCTGTCGCGATCGATCGACAGCTTGGAAGTCGATAAATCTCAATGCCTGCTGGTAGAATGGCCCTGGAAGCATCTACTACTCTCTTCCTTACACTATTAGGAGCAGCTAAGTATATGGTTCTATGGCCATACTACCAGCAGGCATTGAGACAATGCGGTCCCTAACACGCACAGTCGGCTAGTCAAGCTCAACAGCGAGCTTTGAGAGCTATTCAGTCTAGAGGCTCCCATTGGCGCTCATGTTCCCACGCTGGATGGACATTCCTGATTTGAGATGGCCTCCATTTCGAATCCATTCCTCCTTGGACAAGTTTGTTGGTCTGCACAACGAAGTGGTGCAAACCTCAGATGAGCTAGCCTTTTGCGTTGATAGCTATGATCATAACGTTGATCTCGGTGTTCAATTCATGGTTGAGCTACCCGGAGAAGCATGGCTGGGCTACATCTGTCGATTATCCATTCTTTCAGCTCCTTGGCTTCCCCTCCAGATCAAGTCTGCCCCAGTGCATTTTCGTTCCCTGGATCGTTCTCCAATGGGAAACTACAACCGCATTGTTCCCCATCCATTCATTCTTCGTGGCGACTTCTTCCGGTCGTTACGTGATTATTCCTTGGCTCTCCCAGGCCTGTATGAAGCACTAACGCCCCACCACTTCCATGATCTTGTCAGCAATTCATGTCCAATCATGGCAGCATGGGCTTAGTGCTGCAGGCAGGGCTGGGACTCAACTTGCTGATCTATTGAGGTTTGAGTTAAGTGGACTAATTTGGCACCTTAATTTGCATGCAAATTACCACCCCAAATTACCACTATTCAATTCACGTCCAATCATGGCAGCATGGGCTTAGTGCTCCAGGCATCCATGTGAGGTTTGAGTTGAGCGTTCTGATTTGGCGCCTTAATTTGCATGCAAATTACCACCCCAAAATAGCACCCTTCAACTCACTCACGTCCAATCATGGCAGCAGGGCTTAGTGCTCTTAGCAGGGCTAGGACTTAACTTGCTGATCTATTGAGGTTTGAGTTGAGTGTGCTAATTTGGTGCCATAATTTGCAATAACTTCTTGAAAGAATCAGGGTAGATCCACAAGAGATGAGGATGGCCACAGGGCCTCCTCTGCTTACAGAGTTTCCAGCTCCTAGAGCTGGTACCGGTGTTATTCTTTCACGATGCTGGGCAGCCTAGCGAATGCTGTCAGCTTACCTCTCAATGCCACTGCTCAGCCTCAACAGGATAGGTATCTACTGCAAAGAGACAAGAGAGCTACAGGTCTAAGGAGATGGTATTCAATTCATACATTCAATTCTTAGGACTATGAGTAAAGGCAGCATCAGAATATCTGGGTGTTATGCAGGATTTGAGCACTCTGAGCCACACTGAGGCTCCTGGATCCTCCTGAGGTCACCTGATTGAGTAGATGCTTGCCTCATGGCCATCTGGGGTGATACAGTGGTCAAAACCTTCATATGGGACCATATGGGGCTTCCCTGGTTCCATATGTATGGCCTATGTCTCACCAGTACCAACCAAGATTCTCTATATCTTTGCTTGTTCCACATACCATGTGAATATACCAGTAACATAAGACAGACAGTTTGTTCTCACACTCACCACGTTGATCCCATGGATCCAACCCACATTTTATAGCTCCCCTCCATCGGGTGTCCAGGGTGTTCCCTTTCTAGAACATCACTGCTCGTATGCTTTGTGAGGATGTCAGCCGGATTGATTTCTCCTGGCATGTGATGGAAGGAGATGGTCCCCGCAGCGATGTTTTCCCTAACAAAATGGTAGGCCAGTGCATGATGCCTTTTCTTGAGTGGGGAATGGGGCTGCGTCGAGCTTGTGCAAACGGACCCGTTGTCTCCGAACATGTATGTGGGACCTTGCACTGGAACACCAAGGTATCGCAATGTGATGCGCGCAGCAACAGCTTGTTGGGCAGCTATCTTGGCAGCAACAAACTCGGAACCATAAGTTGCCACTTCGACGGTGGCCTGCTTCTTACAGTACCATTCAAAGGGAGTCTGGTTCACGTAGTGTAGGACTCCAGTGACGGCTCTCCCCGTCACCCAGTCGTGGTATAAGTTGGCATCCACGTAGGTGGTGAAGACCACGGGCTTGCCCTTGCTGGGAGCAGGTGCGTCACCAGGGAGTTCCTCTTCAGCTCCTCGGTACACCGTCTTTGTCCAATCATACTTCCTGACTTCCAACTGGGAGTAATCCGGAATAGCGGTTTGTACACGGATGCCTCCATGCTTCATCTTGACCAAGTAACCGGTAATCCTCTTCAATCGGTCCAGGTGGCCAACACGGGGAGCTACTCGGAACGAGGAGAGCGTCATGATTGCAACTCCAACATCAAACCTTCCAAGTGAAATAGCCCACTGGATTGCTCCAATCAGGGACTGGTACTTGGTGATCCCATCATCGTCCAGCAGTGGGGACGAAGTATCAAGCTCCGGGTGATCATTCTTCTCAACAGGACTGGTCACCTTGGTGGACGGCTTCTCCCCAAAGAGGGTAAGGTATTGTGCTTCCAAGCGCTCAATGGTGTACTTGAATGGTGACATTGTGAGTGTCCCATCCTCATCGCGTTTGAAGTTGCATCCTAGGTGGAACTCCACCTCACCAGTGCCCTTGAGCTTGAACTTGTGGGGCTCGGCCATCAACCCATCTATGATTACAACCCCAATGCCAAAAGTCAAACAAGGTGAAGACAGGGTCCTCATGATCATTGAGGGAACCCTTGCAGACTTACTTGTCGAAATCGATCCTGACACATATGCCTCTTTCCTGACATACAAGAAGGGACGACCAGTCCTCTATGTCGTTGTGGAAAGAGCCATCTACGGAATGGTTTTGGCAGCATTACTCTGGTACAAGCTCTTCAGAGCGACCTCGAACAAATTGGATTGTGTTCAACAAATACGATCCTTGTGTGGCCAACCGCATGATCGAGGGTACCAACAAACAATCCGATTTCATGTTGACGACCTAATGTCAAGCCACAGAATGAAGTTGGTGAACAACCAACTCTGGAATGGTTAACGCTAGGTATGGAACCTATGAGCCGTGAAGGCAACCCGTGGTCCCAAGCATGACTACTTGGGGATGACGGTGGATTTTTCCGACCCAGGAAAGGTGATCATCGATATGATAGATTAATCAAGAAGATGGTCTCAGAGTTTCCAGTGGACTTTGGGCAATGAGAAAGGTGTCCAGTGCAGCTCTGCTGACCTATTCAGCTTGGTGATGCACCATCCTGATGACAAGAACAGGGAAACCTATCATACCTTGCAGCCAAGCTGTTGTTCCTGTGCAAGCGTGCTCGACCAGATTGTGCAGACTCTCACTACTGTGTTATGCACTCGTGTCAAAAGCCCAACATCTGATGATTGGGACAAGTTGGTCAAGGCTCAAGTTTTTGGATCAGACTGCGCAGGACAAGTTGATCCTACACATTGATGACATACGCATCATCACTTGGTGGGTGGATGCATCATTTGCAGTCCATCCTGATTACCGTTCCCATACAGGAGGAGTCATGTCCTTTGGAAGTGGTGCGGTGCTGTCTGTGTCTGCGAAACAGAAATTGAATTCGAGGAGCAGCACGGAAGCGGAATTGATTGGAGCTGACGATGTCATGTCGCCCATGTTGTGGGCAAAGTTGTTCCTTGAAGAGCAGGGGATCGTTGTGAAGGACAACATCCTCATGCAGGACAACAAAAGCACGATCATTCTTGCAGAGAATGGCAAAGGCAGTTCGGGCAAAAGAACTCGGGCTATCAACATTCGTTTCTTTTTTATTCATGACCAGATTGGAAAAGGCAACCTTAGAGTTGTGTACTGCCCAACCTTGGAGATGCGTGGAGATTTTTTCACGAAGCCCCTTCAGGGCAAGCTCTTCCACGAGCACAGGGCTTTCATCATGGGGCATCCACCCCTTGTTTGATTGCCTAATTTATTTTATTCGTTCCACGGTAGCCACTTAGGGCACCGTGCAGGAGTGTGTTGGAGGAAACATACCTGACACCTCTTTACTATTGACTCGTGTATTAATCATCTAGTCCGGTTCGCATGTAAATTCATCATGCAAGGAACCAAGGGAGTTTTAGGTCTAAAGTGCTACGGGGGTCCTTATATCCAATTCAATCACAAGAATTGCTATGCACCACCAGAAAATCCTCACTTTTGCTTTTCAGCTTAATCTAAAACCATATTACTCCCCAATAAGCTGCAGTATTACTAGCAAACAACAACCTTCACGTGGTTTAGGTTTGGTGCCCATCATTCGAGCTGGGTGTGCCGGGTGTAGGTCATTTGACTTGGACTGAGGTGCCGAGTGGGACGGGCCAGCTCCAGGCTTGGCTTGTGCCTGATTGGCTTCCATTGTGGGTGGTGGTGTATCATCCACTTGTTCAGGGCAATCCTTCTCCTCATCCTGCTCTACTATTTCAGAAAGGTGAGCCTGTCGTGCAGGTGGACCGGGCTTGGGCGGGGATGACTCCATCAAGATCTTCTTGGCCTGGGAGGACAGCCGGTGCCAGATGGACTTATCCTCGCGTGGGAGCTGTCGAAAGAACTCATCCGGCAACCGGGTGGTTGGATCCATGTTGACATTGAATGCCTCAATGTTACCATCGGCTGGGGTCTCAGCAAAGGACTCGTTATCAGAGTGGGCACCGTCAATGTCATGCCAATTGACGGACCGTCAGCGTGACGTAGCCCTGTGCCTGTCATAGCTGGCCGCTGTCATCTTGATCACCTCGTAGTACTGCTCGAAACTGTAACCGGGCTTCTTGTCCAAGGTCATGGCTTCAATCTCGCGAGAGGTGACTGCATGGAGCTGAGGCACATCAGAGAGAGCACACTGGAGTAGTGTCTTCTTGGTTTCCTCAGTGATGCGCTCAGTCTTGGTCTTGACAGCGTCATTGTACCGCTTGAAGTTCTGATTGAACTTAACAATAAAGTCCAGAGCGGCTTGCTTGGAAGGTGCAAAGGTGGTGGTGGTGAGCCAGCTGTAGAGTTCAGCCTGCTCCAACCTGCCATCCACCGAAGCATGTGCATCCAGCCGAAGTGCGGCCATGATGGCCTGGCAATTGACATCATTGAAGTGCCTCTCCACAATCTCCTTGCCGACTTCAGTCTTGACCTTCTCCTGGAGAATGCTGTAGAACCACGCCTGCATCCTGTCCAATTCAGCCTTGTCCTCCTGGGACTGTGGCTCATAGGTACCATCAATCACTCTAGCTAAGGAGACCTTGTGCCCGCAAGGTTACACGGGTGTGGACAAACCAGTTGGTGAAATGCTTGGTCCTGGTCAACTCCTTGTAGGCATCCCTGTCTTGCTTGGGTTGAAACCTTCTGGTAGTGTTGGGTGGTGGGCCAGAGCCTCCACCAGCACCATTAAGGTCTCCAGGTCCACCAGGGTCTCAAGGTCTACCAGGTGGGTCTCCAGGTTCATACCTGTCGTCTCCATGGTTGTCATCATCATGGTGATGGGACCTATCAGAGTCTCCAGGTCCACCAGAGCCTCCAGGTCCAACATGGCCTCCAATGTAGTTGAGCATGTCGATCCCATGATCTGTAGTGCCATTGGCAAAGGGCTTGGGCATAAGTGGTACTGGAGCCTTGTCAAGAATCTTGAAGGGAGATAGGTTGGGTGAGGACACAGTTGGCTGTGTCTGACGATGGTGAAAGACTTGTTTGGAGTCAGATGGAGTGGGAAGCCTGGTGAGCATGGGTTCCCAGTTGCCATTGAGGTGCAGGAACTGCCTGTTGGGGTAGAGCCTTCCCAACCAGTGCTCAGGGGTCATGGCTACACTGGAGGGTAGCTGGGAGGCATCAAGAGGGTGTGGGTACTTGATCCAGACTCTCTTCCCAATCCAGTTGAGGCCGTACCTGCCACTGTAGTGTGTCTGCTGACCAGGCGGTGGAAGATCAGGGAAGATGAGGTCTGGTTGCCTAGTGTAGTCAGTCTGTTGGATGGTGATCCTGGGGATGGTGAAGGGTGAAGGAGCCCCAGTGACTGGGGTGTACTGGAGTGGGTTTGGTTTGAATGCTTCCTCCTCCATGGAGGGAACCTTGACAGGAACCTGGACAGGAACCTTGACAGGAACTTTGACAGGAACCTTGGCAGGGACCTTGGCAGGGACCTTGGCAGGGTGGACTCCATTGCCAGAGAGGTAGATGGCAACATCAATGAAGGCACCTGCCTCCTGCTTCAAAGCAACATCACCTTCAGTCTGGTCTCCAGGCATGGTGTTGGGAGTGAGTGCAGTGGGTCCTCCTTGATTCTCTGCCAAGGGCTTGTTAAACGCCTTCTCCTGCTCCTCAACACCATGTTGTTCCTGGGCTACAGGGCGGATTGGTGAAGCCAAGTTTGGTTCATAGAACCTATGGCTGATCTCCATGGAGTCCAAGTGATGTTGAGCCCTCGCATCAAGCTGATTGATGGACTGCTTCAACTGTTGGATGAAGGAAGTCTCAAGGTCCTGGTGGCGCTCCTCCATGCGCTTGGTGAGAGTGGTGACATCGGCTTGCTGCGCCCTCAAAGCGGATCCATCAATCACTTGGGGCTTGCCAATGGCTTCCACAGAAGCTTGCTGCGCCTCCATGGATGCTTGCTGCATCTCCAAACGCATAAGGATAGTTTAAAGCATAGCATCGGTGGTGGAAGAAGGGGTGTTGACAGCAGGTGGGAGCGATGGGGGATCCCTGCTCCCATCATGGGTGGAGGTAGCCACTGAACCATCAGCATCAACAGCAGGGGGATGGATGAGGATGGTGGTTGGTGGCTGGTTGCCACCTTGAGGGGTAGCTGCAAGCTCTGCAGCATTAGCAGCTGCCATCCTCCTTTCCTTCCTCGTCTTCTTCTCAGACTTGTTCACCATGGTGTGCAGTTGGTACTTGGCTGTAATAGACTTGAAGCACACACTGTAATAGACTGGCTGAAAGCTGAAAATCACCCAAAAAATGATGATATTCGTCCTGAAAACGGCCGTAAACACGTTGCGCGCTTGTATAAGTCTTCAAAGGGAACACTCTAAGTCTTCGTGTTGATCCGGGGGCTTCCAGGATCGATCCGGAGCTTCCGAGTGACTTCGTGGAGTTAACGTGCGAACTGGTACGAGAACTCGTGGAACAGCGCGGAACAGTGAAAACTGCACGGACACTTGTGGAACAGCGCGGAACAGTGAAAACTGTACGGACACTTGTGGAACAGTGAAGACTGCACGGACGTTCTGAGTGACTTCGAAGAGTTAAACGTATTCGTGCCGTGACCGTTACAAGAACTCGTGAAACTGCACGGACGATCTGATTGGCTGAGCGACTTCGGTGTGACTTGTGGGATCGTTCCGAGGGCTTCCAGTAACCGGTACCGTGTACCTCTGTGGCTGATCTGTTAACTCTTCTTGTTCTCCAATTGACTTGACCTTTTCAACCTCACAATTCACCGTGAAATCAGCACGAGTTTTCCGTCGTATCGATCCGTATGGCGATTTCGCGAACTCGAGGTTGGTAGCCGGCTCGATTTCGACCTTGGGAGGCTTGCAGAGGCTTGTTCTTGGGTAATTCAGACCTGCCGGATCCACTGGTGACCTCGAATAACAACAGAAATGGCTGTGTGGATCAGTAGGAGTCAAAAGGTAGGATTTCTTGGAGATCTCCACTTCGAACTCGAGCTCTGATTCACTGGGCCTGTTCGTCTGTAGCAATAGCTTCTCTTGTGATGCTATTGCGACTGTTTAATCCAATAACTTCTTGAAAGGATCAGGGTAGATCCACAAGAGATGAGGATGGCCACAAGGCCTCCTCTGCTTACAGAGTTTCCAGCTCCTAGAGCTGGTACCGGTGTTATTCTTTCACGATGCTGGGCAGCCTAGCGAATGCTGTCAGCTTACCTCTCAATGCCACTGCTCAGCCTCAACAGGATAGGTATCTACTGCAAAGGGACAATGGAGCTACAGGTCTATGGAGATGGTATTCAATTGATACATTCAATTCTTAGGACTATGAGTAAAGGCAGCATCAGAATATCTGGGCGTTATGCAGGATTTGAGCACTCTGAGCCACACTGAGGCTCCTGGATCCTCCTGAGGTCACCTGATTGAATAGATGCTCGCCTCATGGCCATCACGGGGTGATACAGTGGTCAAAACCTTCATATGGTGGGACCATATGGGGCTTCCCTGGTTCCATATGTATGGCCTATGTCTCACCAGTACCAACCAAGATTCTCTATATCTTTGCTTGTTCCACATACCATGTGAATATCAGTAACATAAGACAGACAGTTTGTTCTCACACTCACCACATTGATCCCATGGATCCAACCCACATTTTATCGATTTGCATGCAAATTACCACCCCAAAATAGCACCCTTCAACTCACTCACGTCCAATCATGGCAGCAGGGGCTTAGTGCTCCAGGCAGGGCTGGGACTCAGCTTGCTCATCCATTTGAGGTTTGCGTTGAGTGTGCTAATTTGGCGCCTTAATTTGCATGCAAATTACCACCCCAAAATAGCACCCTTCAACTCACTCACGTCCAATCATGGCAGCATGGGCTTAGTGCTCCAGGTAGGGCTGGGACTCACTTGCTCATCCATTTGAGGTTTGAGTTGAGTTGAGTGTCTAATTTGGGCCTTATTTGCATGCAAATTACAACCCCAAAATAGCACCCTTCAACTCACTCACGTCCAATCATGGCAGCATGGGCTTAGTGCTCCAGCAGGGCTGGGACTCAGCTGCTCATCCATTTGATGTTTGAGTTGAGCGTTCTAATTTGGCCCTTTATTTGCATGCAAATTAACCCCAAATAACACCCTTCAACTCACTACGTAATCATGGCAGCATGGGCTTAGTGCTCCAGGCAGGGCTGGACTCATTTTGCTCATCTATTTGAGTTTTGAGTTGAGCGTTCTAATTTGGCGCCTTATTTGCATGCAAATTACCACCCAAAATAGCACCCTTCAACTCACTCACGTCCAATCATGGCACATGGGCTTAGTGCTCCAGGCAGGGCTGGACTCATTTTGCTCATCATTTGAGGTTTGTGTTGAGTGTGCTAATTTGGCGCCTTAATTTGCATGCAAATTACCACCCCAAAATAGCACCCTTCAACTCACTCACGTCCAATCATGGCAGCATGGGCTTAGTGCTCCAGACAGGGCTGGGACTCAACTTGCTCATCCATTTGAGGTTTGAGGTTTGAGTTGAGCGTTCTAATTTGGCGCCTTCATTTGCATGCAAATTACCACCCCAAAATAGCACCCTTCAACTCACTCACGTCCAATCATGGCAGCATGGGCTTACCGACTCATTGAAAGAGTCTGGTATTGTAATTGGGGAGCGAAATAGATTGACGAAAAGATGAAAAAACACAAAAACAAATGCTACGGCTCTATGCCCCTTGGTGTGCTGCATGGGGCTGTATCATTTGTTTGTTGATTTTATCACTTTGCCGTGGAGAAAAAGCACTCCCCAATTGTCAACACGGTGGAAATGAGGATTTTTCATTTTGAAACCTGCACCGATTTCATTCGTGTATACCCATTCTTTCAGTCATGCCCTCTAAGTCATTCAGTCATTTCGTTAAATATTTCTATTAAGCCCCCCAAAACCTTCACTTGTGGGTATATGGACCGTGTTTGGTGTTAATGCTCTACTTTCAAATGGCAACTATAGGTCTAACACTCATCTCAAACAGATAACAGAAAGAAATAATGGCTAGGTCAACTTTCAATTTCTCATTACCCATACCTTTCAATGCGTCGGTAGTCCTCAACTACAGTGAAGTTCCCTTATATTTATTCCTTGGTGTTAAGAATGCAATTTCGTTAAATCCTAGTACCCTTGAGGACGCTCTAGAGGCTCGGGAAGTACCCCTCGGGACGCCCTAGGTTGTTCCGTGCCAATCTCCAGGATATATATAAAGGTGGGCACGAAATTAACTCTGACATGTGTTCATGGGGTATCTGGCTCAGTGGAGGGTACCCTTTCATACCTATATTGTGCTCCTCATCTTTTTGACTTAGCGATTTCAGAGAACAAGAGGCAACAAACTATAGATCACCATGGAGA